TGCGGTCAAATGCAATCAATGTAATGTTTGACGGGGAAGAGTTCGGGGAGGTAGACAATATTCCCTCTACTTTAGACCAGGATAGTAGTTTTTGAAAGTATGTTAAATAATCTAAGTACCACTAATCTTAACATCAAGAAGATTAATGATCTAAAACTACTGTTAGGAAAGTACAAGAACTTATTTTTGAGACATGTTCAACCTGCTAGAGTAAGACAACATAAAATTGATCTTATGCCGGGAGTAGACAGAAAAAAAACCTCATTGTTATGGCATTCCAATGGCTTATCGCAAGGAGGTGGACAAACAAGTCAAGGAACTTCTAGAGCTGGGTCTCATTGAACCATTGGAAGCGGACATAGCCCATCCGGTTGTGTGTGTGGTCAAGAAAGACGCAACAATCAGGATGTGCGTTGATTTCAGGGCTTTGAATTCGATCACTAAAGTGCCGGCATTTCCTATGAAGGATATGCATGAATTAATATATGTGGCTGGGCATTCAAAATGGCTATCAAGTTTAGATATGCGCAGAGGATACTGGCAAATCGGAATGGAGGAATCAAGTAAACCACTGACAGCGTTTTCAACTCACAACGGGACGTTTCAGTGGAACGTCATGCCGTTTGGTTTGGCAGGAGCGTCAGGTACCTTTCAAAGAGAAATGAATAAGGTTCTTTTCCGGTACAGCGATTTCACCCAAGCATATATGGATGATATTATAATTTTTTCAAACATGTTTGAAGAACACCTGCAGCATCTAGAAACGATCCTTAAGATACTGGAACAGTTAAAATTTTCTGTCAGGCTCAGTAAGTGTGGTTTTGCAGCTAAGGAAATAGATTACCTAGGATATAAGATAGGAAACAGCAAACACAAACACAGCGCAGATCCTAGTAAGATTGCAGCAATTAAAGTGCTAGAAAGGCCCACGAATAAAAAGGGAGTCTGTTCGGTATTGGGTCTCATGGGATTTTATCGCACATATATGCCGAGATAGCTGGACCTTTGACAGATTTAACGAAAAAGAATGCGCCAAATAATTTACGGTGGGGTCAAGCTGAAGATGCGGCTTTCCTGAAGTTCAAAGATATGCTGTGTCAGGTGACGTCTGACTTTAATTTACCATTTCAGGTGCATTCGGATGCATGAGATATCGTCGTCGGTTGTTGTCTGACTCAGAGAGACACACAAGGGCATTTTAAACCAATAGCTTTTGCATCCCAAAAATTTTCTGGGGCTCAGAAAAATTGGGCAGGCATAGAAAAGGAGGCTTGGGCGGTTTTATTTGGGCTCAAGAAAAGGGGATTTTCGGGGGAATTGTGGAAATCATTACGAACCATAATCCTTTAAAATATCTCACCGAAATTACACCTAGGAGTCCAAAATTAATGCGTTGGGCTCTCTCTTTGCAAAGATGGAATTTAAGAATCACTTATCGTCCAGGAGTACAACATCGGACCACAGACACATTGTCACGATTGAGATGAATAATAGTAATATTTAAAAAAGAAAATAACCACAGATATTCAGAGGTTCTTAAATCTTGTCCTTAAAATACTTTTCGAGATAATTTGTTTAAATGGTGTTGGTAAAAAAAAAATAAATAAATAAATAAAAATGTTTGTCTAATGTATAATGTATTTATGCAGTTATGTTTAGTGTAATATTTGTATTTGTTAAGCAAAAAAAAAAAAAAAAAGGTAAGAAGACTTTTTGTATCCTGATCAGTTTTTGTTTATAAGTACCCCCTGCACCTGGTCGGGTAGGGGCTGAAAATTTTCAGTATCCATGTTAGCCATCAAGAACTTTGACATTTTGTATGAAATCAAGTTTGTCAACTAATAAACCTGTGAACTCTGATTCTGACAAATTCAGAATTGCTTATAATGAACGCTGTGTTGTGTATCTAATGAACTTTACATTATTGCTAATGAACGCTGAACGGTTCTGTTGAACCTGTTGTGAAAATTAGCCTTAAGAGGCAAATCTGCATCTTGGTGGGGGCATGTAATGCCCATAACCCGAGAAGTAGAAGGAAAAGCCTAGCCAGTGGAATAATTAGTACGACGAAGCAGGTGGTTTGTTGGATGGAAGGAATAAAAAAAACAAGGAGAAAAAGGGAACAAGAAGACGAGGGGCCGAAGGGAACTTTGCACCCGCGTTGTCGGACTGGATGGTCTGATCTTTTTTTTGGTGGAAGGGCGGTCGCCATTTTCTTTCGTTATGCAGAGATTGTTTTTCTCATCCGGCGGAGACAATGCCGGACTTACCTATTCATGCTTATACCTATAATGTAATATAATCAAGAATTGTTTACTTCTTTAAGTTTATTGTTAAACAAACCATAAAAGGTTGTCATCTATGCGTCGATCGACAGTAACATGTGTGAAGCAAATTAACCTTACGCTACGGTATAATACAAAGATTCTTATCTCCCTTGGCACGACTACAGCAGTCAACTACAGCTAGGAAAAGTCAAATAACTCAATGAGATCATCTTTCCAAATCTGCGGTTTCACATTTGCTTTCACGCATTTACCAGATTTTGATATTCTTTTTACAAGCTTGGCTATTCTCCTCTGTCGTAACTGGGATATTTGCATTCCACCACACTTCCTGTAGTTTAATACTTGTAAATTTAGTAGCATCCAAGTGTTTCTTTCATTTCCTTAGGATGGTAAACAAAAATTAAAGGTACTTATTCCTTTGAAGGGAGCTGAGCTCCTAAAAACTCACCGCTAGGCACCTTTTGTAGCAGCAAAATTCCTTTTTCATTTCCATTGTAATGTATTTTGCAGTAATTGACAAAACAGATAATCTTCTTAGTAAAACATAAATTTTATTTTTAGTTTGCGGAGATAGATAATTTGTATACAAATCTTAAGTGGCAAAATTTTCATATGTCTACTAGCTGGTCAAACTTCAGAATTCTAATCTTAAAACAATTTCTTGCGTTGCTGAGCAACAGTTACATAATACAAATATGGTGTTGCCACTTCAACAATAAATATAGTTATTTGATAAATAACAAAATATTACACCATATTAAAGTTCAGTTACCCACAAAAGATGAAAGAAATACACAAGAAACTCATTATTACGAAGCACTTCAAGTATTAGTTATTTTACTAGTTTGAAATAAAAGTGATCAGTATGTGCAACCCCTAAATATTATCCAATCTTGAAATTTGGCTAATATATCTTTTACTTTACTAATACTCAGGGCATAAGCAGATCACAATATATGAAATCTGATATAAAAATCACATCTACACCCTATTATGTATCCATTAATATTTTGGATTGGTTATTTCACATTAAAGAAGCACATTGTGGATATCCTATAAATGTAATGATTTACGAATTTTTAATTTTAGAAGTTATAAAATGGGTTAAATGATACTAGAATCAAATGAAAATTAATGGATGTCAACTATAGCAAATCTGATGCTGTATATTTGATAGGTAAAGAAGGTAATAAATATTGCATTTGAAATAACAAACAGGTAGCCAGTATCCATGCAAAACCTTAACAAAAATACCATAATCAAAATAGTCATCCTGGGTATCCAGTATTCTGCCAAGCTGTGAATCCTATCTATGGCTTAAGAACTTTCATAGACATCACTAATTTTGAAACTTGAATTGAAAAGTTGTCCAATTTGTGAAAATAGTGATAATGAACTAAGTCTGGTGAATATGGTGGATGAGGAATGGTTTCACAACCTAGGTCATGTATGGTTAGCTGGATTTCTTTGACACATGGGTTTAAGTATTGTCTTACAGCACCAAGATAATGTATGTTCACAACTGCTGTCTGCTTCTGATGAAGTTGATTCATTTTGTGTAGTTCAGCTCAGTAACAGTCGAAATTCGTAGTTTTACCTCGTCTGAGGAAGATAAGGTGAATAGCCTGTGTCCACCATACCTGTGAAGAACCTGTGGAACCTGTGTCCACAACCACTTAAGAAACACAAGTTCCTTCCTGGACACATAAGAAACCTGTGTCCACCATACAAGCAAAAGCACTTTTTAAGGATGGCAGGTGGTTTTGTAAAATGCTCTGCGCAGTTGTCTGTATCCAATCACTGAACAGCTCTGTGACAATTTGTCATTTTGGATCCCTTTGAAATGCTGTTAACAGTCTGATGCAAAATTACTTCACACGTATTTCTGAGCACGAAGGAGGGGTACGGCTTTATCTGATATTCCTTGTTCATAGGACTGGCATACCTGCCAGATTTCCCAATTTTTCATCCTATCTCCTTGTTTCATAGTAGATCACCAAATCACCCAGTTTTTAATATTTACCTTTTACTGAGGAAAAGCTCCTTGAACAATAATGAAATTTATAATGAGACTTCACCTTCCCTCATACAGTTAAATTTCTAAGGGCTGTGGAGCAGTAGACATTAAGTTTCTTGACCATCATACAGGCATGTAATTCACAGTTTATCTCAGAAAATTGCTTGAAAATGATTTTGGTTCCATCTCTATGTATGCATCTTCTAACAACATACTTGTTGCATGAAACTTCAACCAGCGGTGAATGGTGCATTTAGTAGTCATGCGTAGTCCAAACACCGTATTAATACTGTTTGCTGCAGAAGTTTTAAAATAACTCAGTTTAAACTCTTAAACAAAAATCATTTCCAATGGTCTGGAGTTCGTGGTCCCATTTGATGGCTAATTGCAACACTGGGCTCAACTCACAGTCGAATGACTAATACAGCTTATCAGTCACATATTTACTGGCACTGGGGTTTCAGCAGTTACTTCTTGTATGCCTTCATCAGTTGTTTCCATCATTATTTGAAGTTGGCTGTTTTTAATGAATCAGTCCAGTATCTTTAACTTTAATATGAAATAAAAGTTACAGTATAAAAAAATAATGCTTTTTTTTAGTAGTATTATAATGTTATAAGTTTTATAATTCAGTTTTTGTTCTTAATTACTTTTGAAAGAAGTTTTTGCTTTAACCCATATTATGGAAATTACAGGTGATGTACGCAATGACTTATACTTAACTATATCACATGGGGAATTTACTAAAGGAGCCAAATCATCTGATCGAAATATTGAAGTTTCCGTCAGAGCTGTAAATGAAAAAGGCCAGTTAATCAAAGTAATATATTTTTGTTAAGTTCATTGTGAGAGATTTTAAAATTTCTAATTTATTATTGTTCTATAGAAAATTTTACATTTCATTTTACCTTCTCTTTTTAAAATTTGAGTTGAATCTTGTATAATTTGTTAAAGTGCTTTTAAAGTCTACAGTTCCTACTTATCTAGAAATTTACTAACCTTTTTTTTTATTATTATCTTTACAAACAGTATTATCACTTTCTTCCATTTCCACTTCAGGCACCTGACAATCAAAAGCTTATTTCTCATCCTTTATTTCTTCATCTTATCATTATGTTTCTTCAACCTCGTTAAATGTTTCATCCTTCATTTGTTTATCTTTCTCGGACACCTCACCAGCTACTTCCTTCATCTCTTCATCCACTGATTCTTCAGATGCTGCTACTGTCATTTTAATATCTTATGCTTTGGCTCCAATTTTCTGTTTAAGCTCCACGGTGTAATATCTAATCTTGTTTTGCTTCCCTACCATCTGTTGGAGTTGCTCTTGCATTTTTTTCTTGTCTGTCTTTTATTCCTTCTTCACCCAATTTTATTTCGCTCACTAACTTTTCTTGTCCCACCGTGATCTCAACATTCATCTCTTCCTGACTGGCTTTTATCACTTCCAGTCCGGCTTCTACAGCTATTAATATGTCCATCAAAGCCTTCATTTCTCCACCATGACTTTCTCTTGTAAGCAGGCTACTGGTATTCACTCACAAATTCACTTCTGACAGAAATTGTAGCATTCTACAGGTTCATGGATTAGGAGTAATTGATGGCAACACTCGATGAAGAATCAAAACACAATTTATTCACCATTGTTAACCAGGACGGTTCCAAAGACATGTTTACAGTCATCGAAAAACTATGATAATGATAAGCTCAGTGGCGGGGATATTATGGTGTGGGCAAAGTTTACATGGAGCATGTTAGGACCCATAATCCCCATAGAACAATCCCTGACATCTGTGCGCTACATAAACATCGTTGCAGACCAGGTTCACCTATTTATGACGACAGTATTTCTGGCGGAGATGTTGTTTTCCAACAGGATAATGCACCATGTCTTAAAGGTCGAATCATCAGGGAGTGGTTCGAGGAACCTTCCAGTGACTTTCACCTCCAAATTCACCTGATATTGAGCATTTGTGGTCCCACCTGGAAAACCAAATTTGTGCTGCCACGCTACCCCTTGTAATGTGCGGGAGTTGCAGGACCAGCTGGTGAGCATTTGGTACCAGATACCTTAGACTGCATATCAGCACCTTGTGGAGTGAATGCCATGCCAGGTGCTGGCAGTTTTGAGGGCTAAAGATGGTCCTACATGTTAATAACGCGTGTTCTTTTTCTTGATAAATGTAATACTAATTTTAATTGTCTTCAAAATATATTTATCATTGGTATGTGACTGTATTTATATAGTTATTTTAGCATGAATAAAATGTCTACAGTCCGTATACATGTAATGCACTGTAATCGTGAATGTTTTGAAAAGTCTTTGTCTGTTCAAAGAGGATATAAAATTAAAATGACCTTTTTAAGAAATCTCACAGCTTTGTTAATTTTTCTAGCATCGCATCAAATGTTAGGGATTTATTGTTTTTCTATCATTATATATGTTCTTAATGATTCTGTCAATGTATATAAAGTGAAAAAAAATATTAAAAATGTTATTTTTCCTTTTAGAATGTGATAAGTTTGGGCTGTGGCATGGACACTATTGATGAGTACAAAAGTGTAATTTATTATCATGAAGATAAACCCAAATGGATGGAAACAATAAAGGTAATTATTTCTTTTTCTTTCTTTCTTTTCTCTCTCTCTCTCTCTCTCTTTTTTTTTTTTTTTTTTTTTTTTTTTTTTTTTTTTTTTTTTTTTTTTTTTTTTAATATTGTAGAAGAAAAGAGGTAGTTGTATCTGCTCATATGTTACTAATAATACCACCTGCGAGTTTGCAGAAAAAATGGTATCCTAATTTTAAATTGCTAAAGGACAACTATAACAATGTTTTAACATTTACAAATGTTGCAAAATAATAAGACAAGTATTACAATATTATTATAGAGTAAGACCTCATTTAATGTTGCTCTGTTTATTGCTGTTTCAGTATTATGCAATAGTATTGGGATTTCCCGAAATCGCATGCATTGCTGAGTTTTGCTTAGGTTTTGAAGATGAAAAGGATCTTTTAGCACTTCTACTGATCATAACAATAATAGAAACTTTAAATTAAAACCGCTGCTTTATGCAGTAGTCTTGAAATTCCCTGGAATCACATGTAATATCGATACTTCAGGGTTGGCTCAAGATTTAAAGCTGAAAAAGATGGTTTTAACACATCTGGGTGGTAACAATTAAGAACACTTTGAATTAAAACCAGTGTGTGTTTGTCATTTCAAAACCCCAACAGCATTGAAGGGAATTCCAAAATCGTCTTTAGCAGTAATGTGGAAGAAAAATCTTGAATTACTATAAAAATTAACAAGAATTAGTTTCCTGAACATTTTTGGTCCTTTGTTAAATTCTACTGCAAATCTAAGAAAACTAGATTTGAAAGCTTTATTTTTTACTGATAATGGTCCTAGCCATCTAGTGCATTCATCTGACTTAACAGGATGCATTCCAGTAGAAGTAGTTTTCCTGCCACCGAACACAACTTTGTTAATTCATCTACTGGAGAAAGGCATAATATCAAACTTTTAAACTTATTATCTGTGGTAAACATTCTGACAACTAATTGCTAAAAGCAGTGGGGAACATAAACAATCCATTAGAGATTTTTGGAATGGATGCTGTAGACAACATCAGTTTTTCCTAGAATGAAGTGACTGATAAATGTGTGAAAGTAGTGTGGAAGCATGTAATGCAAGAGCTCAGTAAAGATTTTGACGTAGGAAAATCTGTTGTTGATGTTGATGAAATAATCAAGCTACCAAATTAAATAGGGTTGCATAATATAAATGCACAGGATATTGAAGTATTATTGCAATTTACAACTGATGAAAATTCTTTCCAGTGACAATCTTAAAGGATTAGTCGAATGACAAGTGCATGAGGATGACAAAATTAGTATTTCTGAGGATGAAGAGCAAAAGAAACTTTCAGCAGATTTTCTAAAAAAATAAAAAATAAAAAAAGCTTAGCCACCATAGCGAAAATTATGGATCAGTTTATACAAAATGATTTAAATTTCGATAAAGTTTAAAGCAAGATGAAGTGTCATTGATTTGGTGTCTTGTTATCGACAACTACTTGCTGCACAAAAACATATCCACCACATTAGGAAGGCCTTTCTGTAGTTCTAAATGCGAAGTATAATATTTTTAATGAGAAATATGACATTTCATTAAATTTGAACATTTTAGTTTATATACAGTCTAAATTTTATTCTAAATTCAGCGGAAACTTCTTATATTGGTGAATAGTATTCTCGTCAGAAAGGGAGAAAAGAACTAACAGAGCATTCTAGAAACATCAATCTTATATTCTTAAAAATGTGTCTTCTATAAATTTCTAAAATCTCACTTGGACCCAGTGGAGTTTTTAATAGCTACAGCTTCTGTTTTGCTTGCACTACGTATTTTCATAGTTCAATTATCTATTTGCAGAAATTTATGAATACTAAAAAGTAATAAAATAATTAAATGCATAAAAATGCAGTTAAATATCCGCAAATTTATAAATGTACAGGGAATGTACACAAAATTTCAATAACATAATGTGAAAGATAATAAATAAATATGAAATCAATTCAAACCATCATACATTTAAAAAGTACATTTCTTTAATTTTACATCAATTACAAAAGTATGTTTTTTAAATGTTAGACTGTATATATAAAGTGGATATGGAATTCAAGAAAATATTTTAAACAGTGCTACATACAAAGGACTCTTTAATTTTACTATCTAATATAGACCCCTATAAATGTTAGGGGAAAGTAATAATGTTTAATAAATTCAATTTGTTATAAATTCAAATTTAAAAATATATATTTATTTTTATTCGCTACGATTTTGATAGTTCCAGTTCTAGTCAGACACAAACATCAACTTGTTTTAAAAATATAATAATTTATAGAAAACCACATTTTCTTGTTTTTAATTAATACAGAAAATCAAAATTTGCAAACAAACAGATAATATAGAAATATTTTTAATATAAATGAGAAAGGTTGAAATCTGGATTACTTACTATACATTTAATTCTTGTCTTACCACTCGTCTTATTACATACCAGAATATCATCTGCCAGTAATTTTTTTAAAACTTTATTTGTAACTTTTGTCGAGATGCATCAAAATATTTTATTGCTGAAAGAAGGGGGACAAATGTAAATTGATATGTGTACCAACGAAATCACTTTGAAAGTAGTGTTTATGGTCTTGAATGAAAAATAAATAAATTCACTTTTTATAAAAATGCCTGCAGTAAGTTTCTAAATTTAATCATTATGCAAATTTCACCATTACATCTTATGCATGTGAAATACGATTAATAACGCTACTAGAAGTTAATAAAAAGTCTTTGGATTGAAATTTTAGATTAATAAATTTTCTTTAGCCTCTTTTTTTTTTTTTTTTTTTTTTAATCATATTTTTCATTTTTGACATAGTCACCATAGGTGATGTTTTTACAAGCTTGCTTGTTGTGTAAAATGTAAATTAACCAACAATGAAATGCATTTAATTTTAAACTCAATGGTCTGAAAAGTTGTGGGCTAACAAATTATACTTGCTAATCACATAATCTCAAAATTAATTTAAAAACATAGCTGACTATATATCTAAAAGGAGAGATTTATCTAAAATGAAAAATTTTCAGAGATTCATTATCTATGTTTGCAATAATTAAATAAGAATAAATACACATATGTTGAAATGCTGAGAACTTAAATAATGAAATAAATTAACATCTGTAAACTATGTTGAAAATATAATTTATTTGTGTTAAATGGCTATTTACATATGCACATAAGAAGAAACTGTTGTTCAAGTTCCATGTCGTATTTTAAAAAATTAAAATTTGTTTATTTACATCCAAAAAATTATCACAGATTTCAGGTATTTACACAGTAAGCAGTCATGTGTTATCAAAATTTTGCTGTATTATATTGAACTTAAATATATAATTTGTAAAAATATTAAAGCAGTAGTTTTAGTGCTTTTTATTAGATGTATATTAAGTTGAAATCCAGAAAAAATTTTCTGAATTTTTTTAGATTGCAATACCTATTGAAGAGTTCTATAATGCTCATTTGAAGTTTACCTTTAAACACAGATCTTCAAATGATGGTATAGTATATTTTGCATTTTCTTCAAAGTTCAGTTTTAATATAATTAGTTAGTTATTATTTAAAGATCAGAATTTTTATTTAAATAATATTTTTTTAATTAAATTGCCTTTTTGTTTGAAGTCATTTTAAATTTCATTTTAGTTGTAAATTTTTATAGCTAAAATTAGTGCTGGTTAGCATAGCAGGTGCTAGTTATGTTAACTTATAACTAAAAATTGCTGTGTAGTACATTCATTGTTAGCAATTGTTTATATTGATATAATACTTGTAAAGTGAATGTAGAGGGATTTGCTTTGAATATTTATATTTAAAATTTTAAATTACTTCATGATCTGCAGGTTGATTTACTATTATCCATCTGCTGGTGAATTTTTGTTTTTATTTTATTTCCTTATTTATATTTTTAAAGGCTATTCTTAAGGTACAAATCTCTGTCATAAAACTACATTCTGTCAAATCCGCTTGCATGTGATAGCACACAAAAGGATTTGTATATCGTCTGATTAATAGATGGCACGCACCACTAGATAATAAAGTATTATGGCAATGATGAAAACTGCTGAATCAGATGTTAAACAAAACATTAAAAATTTCCAAAAGTAATCAATTACGATTATAATGGTTATAATCAAATGTTAAATATAAACAAAACATTAAGGATTTCAAAAAGTAGTCGATTATGCAAAATTTATTTAAAACTGAGTGGAACAGTTGCTTAAGAAACATCTGATGCTTAATAAATTTCAGAATGAAAGACTTTAAAATAAAATATTTAAAAAAATTCATCTGAAAGCTATTTCTACTAGCTTGATTCACTAAAAAATATAAAAAATAAAATAATTATATGACTTCTTCACCATGACACTCAAATATTTCAGTTGCTTTTAATATTTTTATGTTAATTCTAAAGCAGCCAATTATAAAGATATTAACAGTCTGTGTCTTCGTCTGTTATTACTATGCCAAAAATTGATAACAGGTTGGCACGTGTGAAAAGATAGAGTCCCAGCAAGGGCATTGCGTATTTTTCACTTCTTCTGCTTCAAAAAAAGCTAATAACTCTACAAGTGGCACCAAAACTAAAAGGTGGTGGACAATTCGTCACCCCTGGGATTTAGCAATTGGGTACCCTAATTCCCAGTCACCCTTTAAAAGGAGGTAATGCATTTTCTGATGATCAACATAGACATTTTCTCTCTCCTTTCTGTGTGTCTTCAGGGTGTAATTAGACCATGTTCGAGAAGTCCAAAGCTCAAGTCCCGCTGAGGGTATTATATCTTTTTCCCATTTCCTGCTTCAAGAAAACCTACTGACTCCATAATTGATGGAAATACAGGGGTTGGACAAAAATATGGAAACACCTTTAAAAAAACATGTTTCTTTGCTTAATATGGTGTAGGAAACCCGTTGGCATCCAAAACAGCTTGCAGTCTTCTCGGAATGGATAAATACAGTTCTTGTATGTTTGCCAAGGGAATATTATACCATTCTTCCTGCAAAACGGTGGCAAGTTCAGATAACGATGTTGGCGGTGGATAACGAGAACGCACTTTCCGTTCCAATGTAGACCACAAAGGTTCGATAATATTCAGGTCTGGTGACTGTGGTGGCCAGGGCAGATGGGACAACTCATCCTCGTGCTCAGAAAACCAGTCCTGGACAATGTGAGCTGTGTGAACAGGGGCTTTGTCGTCTTGGAAGACACCATCACCATCGGGGAACAAAATTTGTACCATGGGATGAACTTGATCGGCCAAAATGTTCACATAAGTCTTGGCAGTCATGTGCCCTGACACAGTTGTCATGGGGCTAGCAGAGAACCACGATATGGCTGCCCAAACCATAACAGAACCCCCGCCGTGTTTCACTCTTGGCAACAAGCAGTCTGTATTATAGGCTTGAGATGGCGTTCTCCAGACGTAAACTTGGCCAGAAGTGGGAAACAATGTGAAAGAAGACTCGTCAAACCATATTACTCGCTTCCACTGCTCTATAGTCCAGGCTTTATGACTTAAACACCACCTTTTCCTGTTACGGGCATTAGCATCACCGATGAGTGGCTTCTCGATTGCAGCACGGCCAGCAATTCCCTGTTTATGAAGTGAAGCTCCCTTCTAATTGTTTTGGTACTCACAGGGTTCGGTAACACAACATTCATTTCAGCAGTAACTTTTGCAGCTGTGGTCTTCTTATTTTTCGTCACAATTGCCCTTAATGATCGTCTGTCACGATCACTCAGGACACACTTTCGTCCGCGCTGTGATTTAGCAGATGATGTTTTTCCGCTTTTTCAAATATGCGGAATAAATCTTCGATACAGTACCTCTTGAACACTAAACCCCTCGCTACCTTGCTTACGGAAGCACCTACCATACGTGCTCCAACAATTTCCCCACGTTCGAAGTCTGTTCACTCTGACATAATGCAATGACAACCTCACATAACAGTACTCCGACAACACTGAACTGTTTAGCACATTACGAAGTTTTTTTTTTTTTTTTTTTTTTTTTTTTTTTTTTTTTTTTTTTTTTTTTTTTTTTTGTTTTTTTTTTTTTTTTTTTTTTTTTTTTTTTTTTTTTTTTTTTTTTCAACATGCATTTCACAAGGTGTTTCCATATTTTTGTCCATCCACTGTAAGTTATCTTAAATTAGGACTTGAAGCTTTGGAATTTTTTTTGAGGGGAGTATCACTAGCTCAGGAAATTGGAGCTTTGTTATATCTTTGAATCTCACTTCTTTAAGACTAAATATTTTGTCAACAATTTCATTATAGAGATGAGATATCTGAGATTTTCCATATGATCTTCTCTACATTTCTTCTTGAAAGGTTGAACTAAATTAATTTTCTTTGATATTTTGTGTAAACTTGATTCTCTTGACCTAAGTCATTTCTAGTTTCTTTGTGTTAGAAAGTATCTCTTTAACTTTCTCATTGCAGTATTTTGCTTCTAATGACTTTGTCTGAAAACACACACACAAAAAAAAAAAAAAAAAAAAAAATGGGAGGTGCAGGAAAGGAAATTCAAAACCCTTCATTGATGATGCATAGCCTTTCTCGGTTATGAAAGTCTGTTTGTAGATTGGGATATCACTAGGTTATGTCTGTGTGCGTAGCAGTGAATAAAACTGCATTAGGGACATTTCTTTTTCACAATTGAGTGAAAACCATTGAAGTGACCAGAAAATGTCACTACTTCATCGTACTCTTGAGCTATAAGTTTTTTCTCCCACTCGAAATCAAGAAGCATTTTAAAAACGTTTTCACCCAAACCATTCACAAATTGATTGCTGTTGACATTTGTAATACTAAGAAATCTTTCTTAAACATTACTATATTTTCCGTATGAAAACTGCAGAAAACTGAGACAGGTTTTTAATATCAGTAGTTTCACATAACATTTAAATGAACCTCTTTTATTTTCTCTCTGTTACATCCAATATTGCATCTTTTTTCTTCAATTGCACTACAGCCTGTCACATGCATAGACCATCTCAATAAGCTTCCTTCAACGAATCCAATTAGTCGCTACTGTTTGCCAATGATAGGTTTTTAGAGTCCTGAGATCTACCTCCATACAGTCTATCCTTCTTGTGTGAGATCTTCTTCTTTTCTTGGTACACTCTACATTTGAAAAGATCACCTTTTTAACGGGGTTCAAGCTGTCACATCTAAAAATATGTCCAAGCCACGTGATACGATAAGATTTGATGACTCGGATAATATTAGGTTGTTTGTATCTTCTATATATTTCATGGTTAAACAAAATTCTCCATCTATTATTTTCTCTAATTGGGCCAAATATTTTGTGCAATATTTTTTTCAAAAAATAAGTCTTCCTTCATACAGTATGATAGATCTAATAAGGGTTTTATAGACATTTATTTTTGGCTTGAAGTTTAATAGTTTTGACGCTAAAAAATTCTTTAAACCATGATAACATCTATTAGCTCTAAACAATCTATTATCAATTTCAAGTTTAATATTATTATCACTAGAGATGATAGTACCGAGATACGTAAACTGAAAAATGCCCTCGAAAGTATAAGACTTTATCTGGCTACAGAATCCAGAGAAATAAAAGCCTCCATGACAATCAGCAATAATGTTGATGTCATCAGCATATGCGAATAACAGTATAGGTCTCTGAAATATGATGCCTCTGGTTATAATTCCGGCATCTCTAATAGCCTTATCAATAGTGATATTGGAAAACATGGCATGTGAGGGCATCACCCTGTCTCAATCCCCTTTCAGTATAGAATGCCTCTAATAGATCAGACATAAGTTTACTCTCTTTAAAGTCATTCTAGATAGATCAATGAATTTTCTAGAAAATCCAAATTCCAGCATAGCTTCAAACATGTTTCCATGGTATATGCTATCATAAGCAACTTTAAAATGTATAAAAAGATGAAAGATATCAATATTATGTTAAATAGTTTTTTCCAAGCTTTGTTTAACAGAATGAATTTGATGAATAGTAGATTTTCCAGCTTGAAATCCACACTGTAGCTACCAATAACTGTAGATGCCTATGATAATAACCTATTATATAAAATATAGGAGAAGATTTTAAATGCCATATATAAGAGGATGATACCTAGATAGTTGCAACATTCAAGTCTTTCTCCTTTTTACTTCCTTGTACGAAGTAAAAAGGAAGTATTGTAATCGCAAAAAGTTTCAGGCAGCACATTTCAATGAAAATATCCATTTTGATCACTATCGAATGCAATTTAACGATGTTTTTGCATGATATCTGTACATAAGGACAGAATAAAATACTCGTTTCCTCCAAAAAAATAATAAAACTGCTTTAAAATGAATTCTGAAGATAATTTTTTGTGGCGTTTGTACGAACGTATGTACGTACGTATGTATCTCGCATAACTCGAAAATGAGTAGCCTCAGAACGTTGAAATTTTGTATACAGGACTGCTATACCATGTAGATGTGCACCTCGTATTTTGGTTGCAATGGGCCGCACCAAACATATATAAATACTATATTTACATATATATCCACTCTGTTACTCAGCACAGTGATCTCTTTCTTTACTCTTGTATGTTTGTAAATTGTACATATTTTGCTTTGAAAATGATTGAATTATGTTGTTCTTATCTTCCGGTTAAGGTTTTTATGCCTTTCGTAATTCTGGAAGCAATATTTGTACAATTATCAACAATTTAAAAGCTGTTTAAGTGTGGTTAAGTTTTAAATAACATGGCAGACATATTAGTTTACATTTGAAACAGCAGAATTGTAGATTTGTTGCCAATCTAGAGAGACTAAGCTTTGCAACAACAAAAATAACGCCTTCATTTATTATTGCAAATTAAATCATGCTTAATCCTTTCTGGAATTTTTTCGAGGAAATAATTATTTAAGATTTACTTCGTAATTTTTAATACGGATATTTTGAGTTTTTATGTGTTTTTGCCTTATCGCGAAGTGAGAACTGAATTAATTGAATGAGAAATGCTAAATCGTCTGTGAAAAACTGTTTCTTTTCTGTTTTGTGTGCTTAATTTCTTTCATACATCGTTCTAGCTTTATTATAGTATTTGAATAGAACATGTGGCAGCGATAAGATAATTCTTCAAATGATATAAATTTTGTGCATTCAGAGTGTCATTATAGTAAACAAATATAGTGAATTTTAAAGAGTGCATTTATTCTATTGTGGTTTATGCGCTCTCGATGAAGTAGATTTAATTCAATCCAATCAATTTAAATGAAATTCAAGAAAAAAATGCTTATAATTTAATATTCCGTATAAGGAAGTCATGTGGTGTCCACATCAGATTTTTAAAAAAAAATGGGACAAATGGAGCCCTCTTCCCATTCAATGGCATCTGCTCCTCAGTCCAAGCATTAAATGTAAGCTTATGAATAGCATCAATCAGTTCAGGTAGGTCAATAATAATAAGTTGTGCCTTAATACTATCTGGGCCTGCAGCCGTATTGTTATTTAGATTTTCAATACCCTTCCTCATTTTATTTAAGCATGGTCCATCAGGTTCCAGAGCAATCATTTTCAACAACATTCAAGTCAATAATTAGATCAGCCTCCTCCCTTGGAAGATCACTTCCACAAAGAAAATCTCTAAAGACCTCTCTCCATCTTTGTAGCACTTCAACTCAATCACTTGTAAGCTCAGCATCGCCTTTTCTACAAGTAATAGTTCCAGGAAAGGCAAAGCAAGATAGAGCACTGGTTTTCTGGTAAAATGTTCTCGGCTCTTTCGTGTTTTTTTATTATTATTTATTTATTTTGTTTACTGTTTTATGTAATTCTTAGTGTGCCCCCATTTTTGAAAATGGCTGTTGTCTTTCATGTTTTAGCTTGGCAAAAAGTTAGTTGCCAATGGTAGGCAACTTTTTAATCCTAAAGTACTAAAAAATGTTAAGAGTTGCACAAACTTCCCGGTGTGCTACAGAGCTCTGAAAAAATTGAAGTTATAACCTGTAGAAAATGTGAAGTAGACAAATCATGCATAAGCTGCTGCCAATTAAAATTGTATGACTGTGATAATAAAAGCTGTATTTATTTTATGAATATCTTTTAACACAAGGATCAAGGCAATATTCAGATAGTTTGGATGGATACAATATGCAGGTATTAATATGACTTGCAATCACCTTGGGCTACAGTAACTGCTGCAGTATGACTGAGCCTAGGGCAGTAGTGATTGTTGCTCGAGTTGAGTGAAACACTCTGGATGGCAGTTCAGGTATTACAATCCATAATACTTTCAATTCTTCACCAGGGTTCTGTCGTAGTTGCTAGTGCTTGTTCTGACAGTCTCTATACTACCATGGACCTGATGTGTTCAGTAGGGAAAATTTTAATGAGTGTGGCTGTTCAAGGCACAGATAGAGAATGCTATCTCTTAATGGAATCTCAGATGTCATAATTGACATATATTTGAGCTTCATCCTGCTGTTGGATGGCTCTGCAGATTTCTGAAGTTATGAGACAGTTTGTCTGTCTAAACTTCTGTGATATAAAGTTGTTTAGTCAAGCATCAGATATGAATACTAGGCATGGGTGGGATTCATTTCAGTGGCACTTCATAACTACAAGTGTTGAGCTGATATGATGAAGCATAAGCAGATTACAATAATCAGTCCCCATTATGCACAGTATGTTGCTAATTACTTGCTTGCCTTACTATACTGTATATATCACATAAATATCATGTCTGCTTTATGCTTCTTCATGAGTTTGCAATTTTAATGTTAGGTAGTTTGTATTCCCATTTTGGTTTTCTACTTTACTTTGAAATTAGGAGGATCTAATATGAATATGTTAAATAATTGTATTGTTTAACTATTTAATTTTCCTTGTTCCCTTAATTAGCGAAAGACCGTGCTGAGAAAGCTTTTGCCATATCTTTTGTGAAACTTATGCAAGAAAATGGTACGACATTAAAAGATGAAATGCATGAATTGCTAGTATACAAGGTACGATGCAATTTTTTTGCTATGATAGTAGCAGTTAAGTATGATACAATAACTTTAAGTATGTAATGCCCATATATTTCTACTCTCTCATAGATCGATTATAAACGGTTTGATGATAATGATGTCAGCTATCTCAGTTTGCCATCAACTCGTCAAGAGTTAGAAAAATATATTTTAACTAATTGTTCTAGTCCTGTCAAAGGTTCCTCCAGTCTGGTTTCTGCAAATGGACTTTGTTTAAGCTCTAAGGACTGTTTCTATATAAGCTCTCTTGTATGTTCAACTAAATTAACTCAGAATGGTATGTTCTTTTGTTTGTATAATTCTGCATGTTAATGTTCTAGTAATTTTTTTTTAAATTTTATAAGTAAATCATGTTAATAAAAAGTTATATTTTTTGTAACTAATCATAAGTCATTGGCATTTAATTTTTTTTAACTAATGGGAATATTTGGAAATGCTTATATGTGCAGAATTCCTCAAATATGGACTCCTTTTAAATCATGCATAATAAAATGTATGACTTTTTTATTGTTCCGGAACTTTTTAATTGAATTGTTCCAGTTATAACTGGTATTAACAGTCTGTTAAACATGTGAAGAATTTTGGAATACTGATATCTGCAGAACTCCTGTCCTGTGCTGTTGGAGTATGTCCCAGCTACTTCCTCTGGCAGTTAATAATGGATTTTTTTATTTATGCAAATATCCAAAAATCTCAGTGCATGAAATTGCTACAGAATTTTTCTAACTTTTGATTGTGCCCAAAAGTTGTATCTTTGTAAATGTGATGTTCTGTTTCTGTGGCATGGAAAGGGACATGTATCAATGGAATCAGGGTGGAACCCTGAGTACGCCTGTCAAGTTTGGCACTAGTGTAGCTATTGGGCTGGCTACAGCATCCATTCCGTATCTGGTCCTGTGCTGTTGATATAGAGAAAATGTGAAATTTTAATGCTCCGTACCTCGAGAGTGAGGTTAAATTGAGCTGCAATTTTACATGTACACTCAGGTGATGAATGAAGAATGAGGACCGACCTTCATATTGGTACCTTTCTTTGCTCTTCTTAATTAAAAATTAATAATTTTAAAATTTTAATTATTTTTTTCATTGTTAAGTTTTTATTATTTATTAATGATTTAATTGTAGTTTTTACTTATGATTATTGACTAATATAATATCTTAAATAGAAGTTTTTCTTTTATCTGACTGATTATTATTTCAGTTTCAAACCTATATATAACTTAAACATTGTCATAATACTGCTTTGCCGTATTTTGTTTCATTTTTAAGTTTGCTCATTATAGAGGTATACAAATAAAAATCATTTCATATTAAATAAGGAATTTTCAGTTTTTTGTTTGTTATTTCAGTCTGTAAAAATGCAAATTAATATTAGCTGTATCATTGTAAATGTGACAGTCTCTATAGTGCCAATACAAAAATTATTAATTATTAATCAAAAAATCTGGAAAAAAAAGGTTGCACTTTTTTAAAAATTCTTTGCTGATTTCTTGCATCATAAAGAGTCATTTCCTTATGTTTATTTGAGTGTGTGTGCTTATTGTTTATATGTTTAATAATTTAACATTAAATGATAGTATGAATTTCATATCATTAATAGAATAATCTTGCATTACAGTTGACCTCCTCGGTTTGTTGAAGTGGTGGTCAAACCCAGAAAGCTTAAGAAATAATCTAAATTCTTTAATGAAAGTAGATGGGGAAGAAGTTGTGAAGGTAATTATGTGGCTCGATATATTAATTTATATTTTTGCAAGTGTCTTTACAAAAACACATCTGTTGTAGGATAACATGGATCTTTTCTGTTGTAGGATAACATGTGCCTAACAGTTTTTTTTTTTTTTTTTTTTTTTTTTTTTTTTTTTTTTTTAAAGGTATATGTGGCACTTTCTAACAAGAAAATATGCTTTTGTTACTAATTCATTTTGACCGTGATAAAATTTTTCTAAACATGAAAAATATATCTCTTATGTTAGCTATCTCATTATTAACAAAGAACTGAATCAAATGGCATACTTCAGGAGATAAAAACAACACTTTTACTTCATTGATCGTCATTAGACAATATTGGCACATATGTCTTTATGTTAGAAACTCTGGGAGTGTTGTTCTGTAGCAGGAAAGATCCCAATGCTCTTTTGAAATCTAATTATAAATTATTTTAAAGTTCTTGCAGGATACCTTAGATGCATTATTCAATATCCTTATGCAGAATTCAGATTCTGAGTTATATGACAATTTGGTATTTGAAGCATTGGTAAGTACTTTTCTTTTATATTTTAGAGACTGAATTTTATTGAATTATTAGTTGAATATATATATATATTTTTTTCATTTTTTATAACTTCTGAGGAATTATGTATGTTCGTTTCTTTTTTTTTTTTTTTCCTTCCTTTCCCATAAAAATATTTATAACTCTTAAATTAAGCAATAAAACAACTTTAGATTGCCATATGATTAGGCAAAGCAACAACGTTGTGTTTTGACCAAGTCTGTATTCATTTCAAGGACAAACATGTACAGTTCCCTCTTCATCAAAAGCAAAGAAATTTGCGGTGAAGGGAGGAGCCACAGTCATATCTACACTCACTTCCAAAAGTTAAGCACGAAGATGTAAAATGCAAAAAAAATCAACAAAATACTGATTTGATTGACACAAAATTCAGCAGGAAAGTAGCATATATATTTATGCATAAAACAAAATCAGTAATTATATACAGAAATGAAAACAATATTAAATTTTTCTAAGTTATCAGATAATACTGGAGACTTAAACAGAATTATGTATAAAGTGAAAATAAACAGCATAAAATGGGGGGGAAGGGCATTAATAGGGTATGTGATCCCCCCCTCTTCTGTATACAAAGTTACACCTTATGACCATGCTTTCAATTAGGTGGTCAACCACCGCAGAATTAAGCAATTGCCATTCTTCTTGTAGAGCAGTTTCCAGCTCAATAAGAGTGGCTGGAGGTGGGAAACGTGAAGATACAGCGCGGCCGAGAGCATCCCAAAGATTTTCAATAAGATTAAGGTCGGGGGAATATGCTGGCCATGCTATACACGCAAACCCTTCACTCTCCAGGTAATCATCGATGATGTCAGCTCTATGGGGATGTGCGTTATCGTCCATTGAAACAAAAGTAGGACCAACTGCTGCAGCGTACAATCTCAAAATGACAATCTAGGACTTCATCTCAATACCGGACAGCAGTCAAAGAACCCCGTTTAAAGATGTGAGGTATACTAATGAAATCCCTGCCCACACCATAATGCTTCTGCCTCGGAATGCCTGCTGATGTTCGGTGATGTTTTGGGACTGATTGTGTGTTCATTGTTTACGCCATATCCTTATATGCCTGTCATCTGGCTCCAGAGCAAATCTTGACTCATCAGTAACTATGACATTCCCCAGTCAGACACATTCCAATTGACATATTCCCGGTGCCACTGTAATCGCACCCCTCTTGATTGGATAGATAGAGGAACACAAGGTACCCGAGCGTACACTCCACTCATATATAATCTTCGGCATATAGTAGCTGCAGATATCGCCTTACCAATGGACGCTGTAACCGTAGATGTCGCACGTGTGGAGGTCGCTCTGTGATTCCGCTTGGCTACAGTAGCAATATATTGATTTTCCACGAGCGTTGTAAACCTTGGGCGACCGGCTATGGGTTTTTGGACAACTGTCTGTGTGGTTTGGAATTGTTTCTATAAATGTTAAATTACAGAATGATGAACTCTGCAGAAAAGAGCAACATCTATGATCGACTGTCCTGCTTCAATGCTCCCCACAGCACGCCAGCATTCAGAATCTTCCATTCCTCTTCTGGAAGTCATAGAAACTGGTATGTCTTGGAAACAAATTGTACGAAAGTTTTAAACACCTTCTATCAGCACATGCAATCAACTTCTGTAACCCTTCATAAAGCTGGCTTCTTATAAGACTGCCTTTTTTGCATATTTCTTGACATGAAAGCATGATTGGCTGTTACCTAACATATTTGCATACTTGCATACTTCCATCTACCTCTGCAGCGAATTGCACCCTCTTCAATTCTGATTGGCTTCTGGAAATTATCATTTTTCTCTCTGTGCTTAACTTTTGGAAGTGAGTGTATATGAAAAGCAAAGTAAAGCAAGCAAGAAGGTAGTACCATCCAAAGCTTCAAGAAAAGCATCAGCACTCCCATATTACAACTTGCCGCCAACTGCAGCGCCAATCCAGTTTGCAGTGGTTGTGCTGTTATCTCAACTTTTTGCCCCTTCCTCCTCCCCAATTCAGTAAGCTGAAGCTAGTGGAATTACTAAATTAATTAGATTAATTTATATCTGAAGAAATAATGTATCTCTACATATTTTTTTTTTTTTTTTTTAAATTTCTTATCTTTCTCCCAAAAAATTTTAAGTTGTAACTTTCGTGGATTTGTTTGAAAGAACCAATAAAAAAGGTTTAAAATCAAACGGAATACATTTCTACAGATTTTCTGTAGAAGAGCAAAGGTTAGTACTTGATTGTTTTACAGTTTTGTTATTTGTAAGTGGATTAGAAATGTGATTATGTTATATTTTATTCTGCATGAGTAATTTTATTATTCATGCAGAATAATTTAAAAATAATTTTATTCTGCATGGTATGGTTTATATATCACTGTGTTGTCCAGTTTAAAAACTGGTTTTAAATACTGAATGATTTAACACTTTAATGCGCATTTCCAGCTTTTACTAATTTATTTACTATAAAAAATTAATAACTTGTTGTCTAAGATTATTTTGGGTATTAGATGCTAAAATTACTGACCGAGAAACATGAAAATGCTTGCATCAGAGTGATACAAGAAGAAAATATTATGTATAAATATAGCAAAAGAAGTTGCCAAAGATATTTATTTTGATGGAAGTAATGAGTATAAATCGCTGAGTTATAATTTTAATAGTAATATGTCATTCCCTCATTTTGTCAATAATTAATGTTTTAGGGGATTTCAGAGAAACTATTTGGATCATTTTATTTTTTGCTAAATATAGCATAGGTGCATGAGGAAAATTTTCATAAATATTTTGAGCAATTTTATCCTTAAAAAATATCTTTCTCAAAAATACTAGTTTTGAGGCGACTTATTAATTTTTCATAGCAGATAAGCTGAAAAATGTGCATTAAAGTGTTAAATGATTCAGTATTTAAAATCATTTTCAAACCCAGTACAAAATTAAAAAAATTACTGCATAAATGAAATAAAAAAGATTACTGAAATGCTTATTTTTAATGCAAGTCACCTCTGTAAAATTCAGTGTTGCTGATAAAATGCGTACTGTAAATCATATGGATTTTTCTGCATTGTATAGTAAACCAATAGATTTAATGGACACACAGTCATCTATAAACCATGCCATGCAAGATAAAATTATTCTCACGTTTAAATATAAAATAATCACATTTCTAATCCACTTACAGATAACAAAAGTGTAAAATAATCAAGCATTAACCTTTACTCTTCTTTTGGAAATAAACATGGATACGAACGTCTATAAGAAATCTGTAGACAAGTATTCCGTCTAATTTTGACAAAATCTTCTTGCACGTGCAACCTTTAAAGCTGCAGTATCAGTACACCATTTTGGCCAAAGCTGATTCAAAACTGTGGTGGGAAAAGGAGCAAAACAAATTCAGATTTAATTTCCAATGACTGAAAAGAAAAGGAGCATGCACAGTTTTACTGATTGTGTTTCCATAGCGCAAGCTCTCACCTTGAAGTGTCGACACTTTACTATACATACAGCTTTGGTACCATCTATCCACAGAAATAGTAACAAGATGAAAAATTAAGTTAATGGAATTTTAAAAGTCTTAGGGAGGACTGGATTGGAATTAGTCATTAACTAAAGATAAACTTTTGTGAAGGTGAAAACTTCCAAGGATAAAGAAGCTTTTGGAGTCATTTTTGCAGACTCAAATTTAAAATTGTGTGTAAAATTTCCAAGTATGATTAGCTATCAAAGATTTATTTATTTTTTCTCTTCACTCATAAAAGTTGTGTTCCTTGATGTGAAACTTTAATGCTATTTTAGTTTGGCCAGTATGTTGCTGTAAATTGTGGTGTATTGAAGATATTTACAAATTTATTGAATGATTACATGGAATACTTCTTCAGTTTTATGGACTAACATAAGCATTTAAATAATTTTAATTTTCTTAGGCTATTGATTAGCAGAGGATATTTAATTGTCTCATAATAGTAAATGTGTTGTTTTAAAATAGTTTTTTTTTCTTTAGTATTTTTATTTAAAGGAATTTTTTTTTATTTATTTATTATTATTATTATGATTATTTTCCTTTTTCATTGCTTACAGATTTTCATTATTGGTCTCATATCTGACAGAAAGTATCATCACTTCAGACCTATCCTGGATATGTATATAAAGGAAAATTTCAGTGCTACGTTAACTTATAAGTAAGTATACTTAAAATTCTGCATTTAATTAGATACACTGGAAATATTTGTAGCATTTTTTCTGTACAGTTTAACATTCACGACCTCAGAAAAGCTGGAAATGTGACACAGAATTGTCACTGCATAGAATCGATAGCCTCTGTGCACAGGGTCTCTGTGGCAGCAGAAAAAGCAGGTTTGATTTTTTTGTTGCTATCGGTCGTCCTCTGTGGGTATCCTAAAAATAATAGTTTAATAAAATACTGACCTTCTTGATTTCAAATTGGATTTAATTTATAAACCTTGTATGTTCTAAGGTAATAAATACTGACTGTGTTGGTGTCCATACCATATTCCATCAATGAGTTTGATGACCTCAGTGACAGTGCTGACCATGCATAGTGATATCCTTTTGATGACTGCATGCAAATGATAAATATCGTTAACCCTCTTTTAGGGTTTTATGTTAAATAACCCTAAAATGTTGTTTAAGTTATATTATTTATTATTTTTCCTTTAATTTCACTCCTAATTTTGCCAACTCCCACCAAAATGTGAATTTGTTTTATATATATATATATATTATTTGTTTAATGATGTATATTATATATATATAATTAAACAAATTTAAATTTTAACAAACATGTATATACATAAAAAAGCAATTTAAGTTAAAATAATTAAAAAATGTGCAAACTTAATTTTCCAACAACATCATTTAAATTCAGATTGCATAAGTAAATCAAGTGCAAAACCAAACCATGAAAATAAATTTACCAATTTAGCAAATTAAAATTAATCTAAAAAAAATTTTTTTTTTAATGCATAAATGAATGACTGTTGAGCAGGCAGGAGACAGACTTATCAAGGGAAAGTTGCCTCCAAACCTAACTCTCCATTCATTCAATTCATGTTTTATCATTCATGCAGGCAAGGGTAAAAGTAAAGAGGAAGAATGTCCAAAAAGAAATACCAATAAAGTGGTACCTTTAGAAATGAGCAATTAAAAATTAAAGTTCTAAAAGGAAAATACCAATGAAGCCTTTTGAGAATAAGCATGTAAAGTCAAGGGATTAAATTAAACTTTTAAAAAATTTAAATTTTTAAAAAATTAATTTTTCAGAAAATTTTAATTTAGAAACCAAAGCATTTTAGAAACCCTGGTCTACAGAAACCTCCCCGACACGAATATGCATATCAATAAAAAGAAACTAAAAAGGAACCAGACATAATTTATATAAAGCAATAAGAAACAAAAAGAACTAATTCATAATTTTTAAAAAAACAAATACAGTCAAAAGTCGTTAATTCGGACACCCATAATCCGGACCTCTAAGCTACAAACTTTCTGCGCATGCGTCACGTTGACGCATGCATGTAAGACTTTACGGCTGCGAATATGCGTGTGCGCATGCGCGTAATGTCGGCTTTAGTTTTCCACATGCAAATTTTGATCGGAGATCAATCGGCGGTAAGCTAACATGGTTGCCGCTGATTGGCCGATGACGTCAAGATCGGCGGGTTGGCCGAGTATTATATATATGTACGCTGGTATCAGCGAATGTCTTGTTCTCTTGTGTTATTATGAGTTAGCATAATGCTAGTTTGCTTTCAATCAAATGATTTTAAATGTAAAGGCTACAGTGTTAGATCTTTTATTTTAATTTATGGAATAAAGCATGAATTTTATTTAGATTAGTCTTAGCTTTATTTAAGGGAAGGAAAATATGCTTTGCCTTTATCACCACTGCCAACACGTAATATGTTTACGCTTGCGCGTTTAATGTATGATGGACGGTATAAGCTAAGCTAAAATTATCTAATTCAGTTAATGTTGCAGATTGCGTTGTTCCTGAATCTTCGAAATGGATCCGGCTTATTATTTTTTGCAGACTGTTAGAGCAATTTTATAAAAGTAAGCTTGAACTTTCGATTATGTCAAATAGAATTTCTGATATATATTTACTAATATGTAAAGGATCTACAAAGCGAAAGTATGTTTAGAAGTTCATTAAACAAAAAGTGAAATTGCTGCAAAAAATGGATAAAGTCATATCCTTCGTTTCTCAAACCATTCCGAAATCTGTTTATCAATTTCACGCTGCTCTGCGCCCGGGGGGGGGGGGGGGGGAACGCTGCGGCGCGCAATGAATTGGAAGTTAATCTGTCAGCACTATACTTATCTTCAGGGCAGATGTTTTTATTTTATTTCGCATATAATTCCTTACTAAATGTAGTATTCATCTCGATGTACTCCGTCTTTATATGATTAAATCAATTCTAGTCATTATAATTCGCTTCCGATAAAGAAGAAAGTGATACAGAGGTTATTGAAAACGAAAAATTTCGATGACAAATTGTCTGTATTTGACACAGCAATTATAGGAATTTAACAGCGGATCTTTGTAAATGAAGAGAAAATTATGTCTGTTTATAGAATTAAAGAGAAAGTATTATCACATAAAGTTAAACAAGTATCAAATGAAAAAAACAAGTTATCTGGAAGCAACTTAAACAACTTACATTAAAAGAAATGTTTAATAAAGTAAACAAAATAAATATTAAGCTTTTTTTTTTTGTAAATTTTGATACCCTTTAGCTCATAATGTTCTTTATTTCATAAATTACGGTTTATATTTTTAATTTTATATTTCCGTGTGCCATCTTACCGATTTAAATGATGATCTAATCCGGAAAAATCAATAATCCTGAATTGCCGAATCCGACGAGTTCGGATAACGCCTTTGACTGTATACTTAAAAATATATTTCATATGTAGAAAATACTTTAAATACTACATAAAAATATTAAAAAATACTTAAAGCAAGTAAATAGTACGTTTATTTCTAACTTACCTTACTATATTGTGTGGAGCTGCAAGTTTTAAAAGGATGAGTGTGTGAAAGAGCACTGAAAAACGTGGATGAAGTAAGGTTAAAAAGTAACAATAATATTACGCTTTTCTTTTTTTAATTTGATACCCGTTTGATTCATAATTGTTCTTTATTATAATACGATTTATATTTTACTTTGTATTCTGCATGCTATCTTCCATATTAAATGATGATTATAATCTCCGGAGAAAAGAAATCGATAATCAGAAAAGCGAGAGTCCCGACAAGTCGGATAACGATTTGACTGTATTAAGTATTTCGAGATTGAAATATATTTATAAGTATATATTGTGTTGTTTTTTTACTATGAATAGTTTTTTGTTCTTTGGTTATATAAATATGTCGTCCTTTTGTTTTTTTTTGATATGGCTATTGGTGCGGGGAGGTTCTGTAGACAAGGGTTTATAAAGCTTGGTTTCTGAATTAATTTTTAAAAATTATTTTTTAAAAAGGTTAATTTAAACTTTACTGATTATTTCTAGAAGATTCATGGGATTGCCTTTAGACTTTTTTAATAGAAAACAATTTTTAATTGTACTTTCTAAGTACCACTTTTGTCTTATTTTTTGGAATTCTTCATCGTTACTTTGGTTTGCTTTCCTTGCCTGGCAGAATGACGAAACAAGAATGAATGATGGAGAGTAGGTTTGGAGGAACTTCCCCTGATAAGTCTGTCTCCTGCTGCTCAACAGTCATTGACGGCATTTAAACCCCCTTTTTAGATTTTTTAATTTGCAAGTGGAACTTTATTTTGATGTTTGGTTTTGCACTGATTTACTTATGCTATTGCTTAAATGCTATGTAGATTAGTCAAAAATTAATATTTTATATGTTTGCAATTTTAATTATTTAACTTAAATTGCTTTTTACGGAGTAATGTTTTTAAAATTTAAATTGTTAATTTAACCTTCCTTCCTGAAATGGCACAAAGAATTAATTAAATTTGTATTAAATTAAATTTATTTAGAAGAAATTGTATGTTACATATATATATATTTCTAATGAGTATATTTAAATATTGATATATTATCTCCTAAATAAAGTGGTGGAAGGCATTGATGAATAACACCGAGATGAATTTTCCCAAAATAATATTTTTAAAGGAACTTGATTTAATATGATAAGAAATGGAAACTTTTAAAATGAAAATTAATAAACCAAGTAATTATCGTCATTGATCGGAAATTGGTTGACTTTTCAAAGGGAACAAACCAACCCCCGTTCAGTTAACAATAATAAATAAATGCGAATGGGTTTCGTCTTTTACTCAAATAAGAAGTATATGCCATACTGACAATTTTAGTTAAAGCTAAACTTGTAAGTTGAGTTTTAATCCAATTAGTGAGATGAATTAAAGTTTACTATAAAGAATTCATTTTGAATAGAGCAGTTCTGTTAAGTTAATGAATGTTTTTTGAAATTTCAAGTTATTATTGCCAAAGTGAGGAGTAAATAAATTTCTCTGCTGGATAAAGTAACAATTTTTTATCATTTACTGGAGCAAAATGTCCCCCAACACCCTGGCTTTCATGCATGTTAATTTAAATTTATTTTTATTAAAACATAATAAACATAATTTAATCTTTTCTATATTGATGAAATAGAATTCAAAGTAATCATTATAAACATAATAAATTTGAATTAATTTTAAATAATTCGCTTCCCAAAACACACTGGCTATGACCTTTCCAGCATATGTGATCGACTTCACTTTCTTTAGCGCTGAATCATCGGCTTCCACCCTTTGCTTAGACTGCTGTTTCATTTCTGGCGTGTAGTAGTGGATCCATGTCTAATTCATGGTACAAAATTGGTCGGATCCCTGGTTGAATTGGTCCAAAGAATTCTGCAAAAATTGTTTCCACATTTGCTTTTGATTGGCATTCAGCAAATGCGGCACACATCTTGTGCAGAGCTTTCACATCCCTAATGCTTTGAGCAAAATGTTTCGCACCCTTTCTTCTGATATCCCCACACAGCTTCTGCTATCTCGCTCACCTTCATTGGCCTATCATGTACTTTTTTTGATGTTTTCCGGTGTGGTTGCAGTTTTTGGCCGTTTTTTTACATGGGTCATCTTCGAGGGATATGCGGCCATGTTTAAATTCAGTTGCATACTTTTTATTGGTTGACATGGAAACAGCAGAGTCCCTGGAAACTTTTGTCAATTTCGCAAGCATTTTCTTAGGGTTTGATTCATTCAAAACGAAGAATTTTATAGCTGAACGATATTCAAGTTTATCCATTTTAACGAATAACGCGCAAGACGTTTACTGCAAAGATTCATGTAAACAAACTAGATGAAATTGGTCGTACGAAGTATTGACGCATGCACCCAAGCAGGAAACGTAAATTTCTATAAGTTATGAAATTTTGTGAATCATTGAATGAATATTTAGAAAGCAGAAACTGTGTTACATCTGTGTCTTTTTTGTCTACTTCTGTGTGCAGAAAACCCTGCTTTGTATCACTTATTAATGCTAGAGATGATGCCTTTATTAAAGAAGTTAAAAATGTCAGGATTCAAAATTTGATCAATATGTAAGCACTCATTCAATGAAATTTCACCGGGTCCATGTGAAGATGCAATCATTATGTTACATAGTTTACTGGTGGTTTAGCCACTGCAAACGATTTCTCTAGGATGCAAATAAAATGAAATTTTATCACTAGCAGACACCAATCAATAGCATTTTGTCAGTTACTAAATGTGTGCTCAAAGTGCTTTAATTTCCTAATCATTATATCATAATGATAAACAGCTACGATGAGAAGACTTATTTTTTCTTTACAATTACAAGAGTCTGTGAGCTGTAAACCTTTTTTTAATTTGTTTTTACTATTCAAATTAGGAGGCAGTAAATCTGATTTTGAATCTGTTCTGTTACAAGCGCTTCAATTTCAGTTTTTGAATTCGGTGTTTTCTTGTTCTCCAAATTTATCTTAGCAATGTTAAATGTTTTTTTAGTGTTATTTATTTCCAAATATAAGTACTGAGAATTTCCTTCCCCCCCCCCCAAATAAGAGGAAATTTTATTTTATCTTCCCACCTTTTTTTAAGAATGATTCATGCTACCGGTATTAAGAAGAGTTCTTATTTTATATTACTTCTGATTTAAATTGACTGGTTATTTGTTAGGAGTATTATGCAACAAGTTTGAAACAAAATGCTTTTACATTTGTGCTGAGAGAGAACTTGTGATTTTTGTACATTTTTATTTTATATATTTATTTACTTAGTTTCTTCTCAACCTCAAAACAAATAGAAGGGTTATGTTTACCTTTGTATGAACAGAAGAGATCACTTTTACATTCCTTAATGCAATTTTTCAATTTCAAACACAAAAAATCTTCAATTCATATACAATAAATTTCTTTTCTCATAAACTGTCAATGATTCAGAAGTCTCCTTTTCATTTTTGATTTGCAGAACAGTTATTTATTTACTCTAACTGGCATGCAGGAGATGTAATATATTCTTCAATAATAACTTTCAAGTGAATTGCAGTAACTCATCAACATTAAAGAAAAGAATTGATAAATCTTTTTTGTGATTAAATTGAAAGTTATATCAAAAGGCAGCATTTTCATTATTACGGGCATGAGCATATAATTGTATGTCTCCAGTTTGACTTTGCATGACCTCAAACTGCATATTTGAGTTCCTGTAATGTCACAAAGTTTATGAAGTTTTAAATTGTCACTGAATTTAGTTATTAGGATAAAATTAAGTTTTTGCTTGTGTAGGTTTATATCAAACTTGTTTACAAGTATTTCAAACATCTGATCATAATTTGGTTCTGAAATACAAAATCCTTCTATTGCATTTGCATCATTGCTGTATGCGTACGATTTTAAATAATTGATTTTTTAAAATTTTGTTAAAGATTCATTATCATGGACTGAAACTTTGAAAGAGTTCTAAAATGTATCCTCTGGGTATAATTGGTATAAAATTTAGAGACAGTTACTTCTGGAAGATGAGTAAATTTATTACTTTTTTTTTAATCTTATATATATATATTGGACACTGCAGATATTATCATCTTGCATTTCTAATTTAGTGACAAGATCTTCCATTATTCCTTCAAAAATAGAAAAATTACCTTGGCCGTGTTCGCACACATCAATCAGTTAGTCTAAAATTGTTAAAACATGCACTTCCAAATCCTTATGCATGTTCAGTATGTATCATTGCTTATGATTTTTCAGTAAATACCATTGTCTTTGTAGTTTCAATATACACCACTGTGTACATTCTTTCAATATGTGCCATTCTGCAGATTATTGCAAGAAAATGCATATTTTGTAAACCAAGAAAATTTTCTTTTTGAACTTTCTGTCACACAAGTATCAATGAACAGAGCAAACCTGGTCATATATTTAATCAAATAATTTGACAAAATATTTAATAAAGATTGGCATTCTATTAGTTTTAGTTTTTACTTATTCATTTAACATTATTTTCAACATAAATATGTAACTAATAAGAGAAATAAGTAAAGTTACTTAATTTTGAATTATATTTCTTTATTCCTTTTAGCACTGGGATATAATACAGTCAATTATAATGTGATGCAGTATAATTTATAAATCTTTAGCACAGTACAAAGTTCAAGATTTGGAAACATCGGGATTTTGGCAATTCCAAATTTCATATCACAAGTTTAAATTATTGAGATGACATGTAGAAATCTTTTAATTAAAAATATGAAATGGTTTTTATGGAATAATGAAGCATTTATAATCTTAAATCAAAATTTAAAAGGGGGGGAAAAGAAACAAAAAGTTTGTTTTATTAAACATTTTTAATGTAAGTTGCTTAAGCTGTCTCCCCCCCCTTTTTTAGGCCAAAGGGCTATTAATTTCGTTTTGGCATTTTGCATTGATTCACTGTAACTGTCGGTTCACTATTCAAATTATTGTTGCCAAATGTTAGAGCCCTGCAATTTATTTAAAGAAATTAAAAAATGAAGAATCTGCATGAATGTATGTATGTTTCTCACGCTGTGAAAAAACAACAATACCTAGAAACATCAAATTTTCAGTAAGTTGTCCTCCACTAGAATATGGGCAGCTTGAAGCCTGAACTTAAAATTTGTTTTATTATCTATTTGGATAATAAAACAAACTTGTTTTGTTTATTATCCAAGTAGATAATAAAACAAATTGTATAATAATTGGATAACAAAACAAATAATATTTGGAATTTGTAAAACTTTAACGATTTTTTGATTAAGAAATTCAACCATTTCAAAGTGAGCAATGGCAACACTGTTCAGGGGGGAAAAAAAGTTTGTCTGCAGCGTACGAGACTGTGTATCGGAAATTCTAAAGATATGATCTTTTTAAATTATTTTGTGATACTGCTGTTGAATTGAATTCTATGGTTTATGTGCGAAGACCACGATATTTATTAAATAAAGGTAACACACAAAACATTAAAAAGAAGGGCGGGCCCCTTTGGGCATAATCTGAAAGACTTCAGTTTTTTGGGGGGTGCTAATATTCTTCCCACTAAACTATCAGTAATTTTTCATTCTCAGAATCCTTTTTGTCACTTTCTTCACTATCAGTATAAATATTTTCTGGATTTAAAACACCAGGTCATCCGTTTGTTGAGTGCTCGTGAAAAATTTCTGTTATATCTTTTCCAATTATTATTACTTCTCCATGTTTCTTCATCACAAATTCCATTAATTGAAAAATTTTGAATTGTATAGCAATTAAAATGTACACCAAAAAAAAGTTTTTTGTTTTGAATTGACATTGCTTTTTCTGAAGCCCAAATTTGGCCAAGACCTCTATAGAAAAGAAAGCACCAAATATCCTTTCGCTGCTATCATTCCAGAATTGAAAAGAGATGTATAAGAGAATTTGAATGATGTCACCGAATTCAAACTTGCATTAAAAATTCAGCCAGAATTTTTTAGTTAGTTTGGCAGATACATATTCAGAGTCATCTGCTGTCTTTGCTGTTTGCCCATGCATTTTATTACCCTTTTTGTATTTTCTGTTGGCAGTTTTGGTTTGTGACAATACTTTTTTCGCCATTCTGCAATAATCAAATTTAAACTTTTTATATATATATATATATATATATATATAGGCCTCAGTTAATTGAAAGTTTGACAGTATTGACAATTGTTAACAGTAATAAAATAGAAGTGCACTGCTAATTTGTTGTAATGCATTAAATCTTTAAAGAGAAAGAAATCGGTAATTAAAACCGTGGTAATTTATAAGTATATAACATAAGAAATTAATTTGCTCTCTACTCATTTATAATGCAGTAAATTTTTGTAGTTTCATGATTTGTATTGTCTGTATGTGAAACTTAATTTTTTTTCTTTTGACTTTTTACAGTAAATTAATTGTTGTTTTGAAATATTATGTGGATAATGCACTCCAGAAGGATATCCAAGATACCCTTTTGCGTACTATGAAATCAATAGAGTATATTTTCAAGTTCATTGTGAGATCACGACAACTGTTTTCTGCGTATGTTTTTTTTTTTCCCTTTATTTTTGTCTTGTACGTTGTCATCTTTTGAATTGTGCCTTACCTCAGAAATTTGTGTATCTTTTATTTTTTACATTTAAACTTTTTTTTAAAAAATGGTTAATACTCAAAAGGTTTTTAAATATCAGAGCTTTTTTTAAAGTAAATTTCCTTTTTGAGTTGAGGTTTCTGATTTCTTCATAAGTATAGATTAGCTTATGAGTTGGCAACTGTAGATACTATTTTCATTTAAGAATAAAGGGAAAATATTTGTATGTTGATTTTTTTTTTTTTTTTTTAAATTTAACTGTTTTGTGATTTAAACTGCAATGTGATATTTTCAGACTACTATTTTTTCCCTTTGTTTTTCTGGTACTGTTCTGTTATCGGGACCGGTTTCAGAAATGTATGTATGTGTGCACATATGGATGATATATGCGTTTGTGTATGCATGCAGTATATGTACACACATATGTATGTGTGTGTATCCACATACTTCCACACATGCATAGATTACACAATTCTTGCATACACACACACTTATACACATACATGCAAATACACATACATACTTATACATATATACACACATATACATGTATACATACATTTCTGATTCAGAAGTCAAAACAACAAAAATCAGCGTTATATTTTCAAATTTTCGCAGGAAATTTTTAAATATAACGCTGATTTTTGTTGTTTGACTTCTGAATTAGTATTTTTTCGGCGTGTTATTGTGTCTTAATTATACATTTCTGAATTTGGTTCCGAAAACAGAAGAGTGCCATTTGAGCGGGTGTTAGTGTTCAGTTGTTTAAACTACAGTATTATTGATTTTCATCTTGCATTTTTTCAACTTGCTTTTCGTAGTATATTTTTGAATTATTTAAATGAGGCAGTGATTTTAAACTCAGAATGCATGTGAATCAGCGAATGATCTGAAAGCAGCTAATGATCCAGATTTTTCAACAAAGGTAAAAGTTGTTTTTAACAAAATAGAATTTTTCTAACTAAATTTTAAATTTCATTAACTAAATATTTATCAAAACATACATAAACAACAATAATAACAGAAGGGGAAAATATAGTGAAATCCTTTTCTTTAGCAGTGGATCGTACTGACGTAGGAATTTCTGCCATCTTATCCTAGTCATGTAGACTGGAATACATCTGTGCAGAGACAAAGCCTTAATCAATTCATCTGTCTCTTTTCCTGTAATAGTTGTTGTATGTATAAGTTTCATATATCTATGTCAGTATAAATTCTGTATTTGCAACAAAAGCACAACTGAAATATATTCACAGGCCATGTAAAATTGCTTCAGGATTGGATGCAGCTCTTGGGCTAGCACTGTGAGACCACTGGTCTAAAATGCATTCAAAAATAGCATGTATAAAAATTAACTTATTTATCATCTTCATCTTTTTTCTTTTTTAATGCATTCACCTGGACAGCCGTGGAAAGTTAGAGAAATAGAAATATAGATCATCCTGACAAATAATAAGCCATTCTTTAAATAGTAAACAAAACAAAACAAAAAAAAAAAAAAAAAAAAAAAAAAAAAATTCTCTTAAAAAAGTAAACGATTATTGCTTATTATCAGAATTATTGTTTTTCTTGCTGAACGTAGTTTATTCATCTTACATCAGATACAGTTTTATCAATTTATAGCTTTCTTATCTACCTATTTATTATTTAAATCAGTATTATTCTCTTGATATTACTGCCCTTCAAAAATAATGCAATTTAAAACTGCATTTTGTGGTTGTACTGTAACAAATTATTATATTAGCTAAACACTTTCAATCTAACATAATCCTTGCCCCCCCCCAATTTTATTTTGAAGCAGCACAGAAGTAATATTTATTATGATTGATGTAATGTTACAATTTTCTCTTGGAGATGCTATGTTTTTTCAATGTCAAAAGGACAAAAATGTTTTTACCCTTGTCTCATTGGGTTCTTCTACAAATTTATTAAATTGAAGAACAATATAAAGTATTAAAAACTGAGGAATAATATAATCCCACTAAATTTAGCTTTGTCATTAATATTGAGTACTAAATAATATGAGGAAAAAAATGTGTGAATTTTGTATCACAATATTTCCATTGCATGCTTTTATTTTCTTTCAACACTGTTTGTCTTAGGGCTATAAATGCTTGGGCAGTTATTAAGAAAAGGGGAAAAAAGTCGGGGTAACAATTTGTATTTTGAAAGTAGCAGAAGAGCTAAAAGTTATGTATACTTCAAGAAAGTTGTAAGGTATTCCATCTACTTAAAATACCTCAGAATTTTCAAATAAATCTAAATATTGCGAAGCTGCAAAGTAACAAAATATAAATACAACAAAATTAAAACTGTGCATGATAAGCATGTAAAATTTTTGGTTTGGATTGTGAGCAGATGGATAAGCAGATGAAAATCCTGGAATTATTTATTGTGTGCTGGGATGGGGTTTGTGGTATTATTATGTAAAATACTGTAAATATATTTTTTCTGAATTTTGCATATTATAATTGAATTTATAATAATAATTTGGTAGTGATGTAATATTACATTTTGTGCATTCTTTTATAGAAAACTTACAAGTTATAGATATTTTGTGTTTTATGAAGTGCAATGAAATAATGTAAAATTTAGCTACTTATTACACTGTATAAAGCTAAGATCATCATTGAAGCTGCCACATCAATTATGACCCACCATGGTAATTCTAGTGTTAATTTAAAAACTAATTCAGGGATTATTGTTCAGGAATATTCTTCCAATTGGTGATGAAAAATCAGAGCAATTTAAAATTGAATTTTAGTGGGAACACTGTAATTCAAACTTTTTAAAGTTTTGGTGTTTAAAAAAATATTAAAACCTTCTTTTTGCCTTTTTAGCCTAAATGAAGATAAAGGTCGTGAAATGTTTGAACTTTCTCTTAATCAGTTACTTCACTCTATTACTGCCATGATGTTATATGATACAGATTCTACTCTTCTTGTTCAAGGTGCTTGCTTAAAATATTTTCCATATGCAATACCAGATATACTATCAGTTTTTGATGGAAAAGAGCTAAGGTAGGATTTTCTTTCTGAAAGTATTCTTTTATTATTATTATTTTAAATTTCTATTTCAATTGTTTCGTATATTCATATTTCGATTACAGTAAAACTCTAAGTATCCAGTCTGCAGATATTTGAATCTTTTGTTTTTCTTTCTGAACCGAATAAAACTAAACTTTTTCTTCATTGATTTACATGCTTTCTAATTCTTTAATTGATTTAAATAATATGAAGATATACAACACATTCTTTTTAAGAAAGTTGTTAATTAAATTAGATCAGGAGTCCCCAAACTTTTTTGACTGTTGACACCTTCAAAGATTTTTCTTTTTATTGACCTCTGTCAACTTTACTATTGCCTAAATCTGTCAACTTTACTATGATCAAATGGGAGGGAATAACCGCTAATATAATTTTTTTTAGCATTTGTTATTTATTTTATGGCATTTGTTAATTTTTTAGATTATATGTATCTATTTGTTGCATTTATATCTAATGAGATACCTTTTAATAAAACTTTATTTATTTAATTAAATTGACTGATGTAAGTGTGATGGATGATCAGTATCAATGTAATGCTGCCAATATTTAGAACAAACTTAAACTGTAAATAATTAAATGTTTCTTTCTCTCTCTTTTTTTAAAATGCATAATGTAAATGTAAAATATTTATGAAAATAATAGAAAAATACTGCTTAAATTACAGTATATTAACATGCATATAAAAGTTATTAAAAAAGGGAAGATAATAATAATAACATTACACATCTAGTTTCATCATCATAGCTCTTCAACTGCACATTCATCTAGGTGGCACATTATGGTTACATAATTTATTTACAATTACAGTTGCATGGCCATTTCTTATATAATTATATATCTATATTTATCTATCTTTATATGTTCATATATTTGTGTATGTGTACAGAAAAAAGTAAATAAGTCAAAATTTGAATTTTGATCTACAGTATTTTCTTTCAACACTGTTTGTCTTAGGGCTATAAATGTTTCTTTATTTTTATTTGGTTATTTTTCCTTTCTATACTAAAAATAGTAAGAGCTTATAAGAAATGTCTCTAAATTGGATCACTTCAAAATGAATGTTCCTCATGTGATTCTTATGTAATGCTGTTGGCAAAGGTAGTTACATAATACTTCTGTCAATAATAATACTTATTTCACAGACAACCGAAAAATTAGTCTGTATGAAACATAATGCTTCTGTCAATAATAATACTTATTTCACAGACAACCGAAAAATTAGTCTGTATGAAAATGTAACAATAAGTTTATCAAACATTCATTTAGAAACTAACCATTCTGTCTCTCACCTCTCTGCTATCAATTATTTCATCAAGAAGAGGTGCATGTACTGCACCAGTTTACGTGTGTTTATTTAAAAAATATTTGTCAATGAAAATAAATATTAGACTGATTGTGATTACTACACCATCTCTAAGCACCGAGCTCCACCATTTCATAATTAGATTTTGCACTGCATCACCAGTTTCATAATTATTACACATACATATCTATATAACAGTATGAAAGTAATTTTATATTTAAATAATTACAAGACAATTGTTTATCAGTCATTTTTATTTTTTCCCCATTGACCCCTCTCAGTGTCTTATCAGTTACTGGGGTGAGGGTCTACTTCTTTTTTTGCATTATAGTGCCAAAAAAAAAGTGCAAAAAAAAATTTTTTTTTGCATTATATTTGACCTTCTATTATCCATATTTTGTTATTTGGTTAAATGGACTGGACATTTAGAGTTTTACTACATTTCAGAAATGATTTCTTATTTTTAAAATACTTCAGAAATAATGTTCAGCTTTCATTAATAATAGTAACATCCTGGTAGAGCTGATAAGCAATGTTCCTAAAGATCGTCTGACTAAACAGAAAATGATGTGTGTGAATGACCTGGTGCACAGTGCTCTTTTTAAGATACCTGGTGAGTAATGCAAAAACAGCTTATTTAGTGAATGCTTTCCATATAATTCTGCTTTTTAAAATATTTGGTCACACAGTTGATCTACAAATATTTAGGATTAAATTCCTACAAAATCAAAATTTGAGGAAAACAATACTCTAAACCTTCTACATGCAATCTTTATTAGCCTGTACAATACTTGGCACATTCATACAGCTGCTCAACTCCTTCTTAGAACTAATTATTCGGTATATGTTTCTAATAACAGTTTTCTAAACGTCTTCAATTCTGTTAAAATAATTATGTTTGAAGAGAGACTTCAGGGAAAAAACTTCAAGTGTCAGATATGATGAATAAGGGGAGAGGTTTTTGAATCATGATACTTTTCTTTGCTAGAAACTGCTTGACAAGCGTAGAAATGTGTGAATATGCATTGTTATACAGCCAAAACCAGTACTTCAGTGAGCTCTTTCAGGCTTAATTTGTCAAATTCCGCTCAGGAGTCTCAAAGCGATTAACCAGTGAGTTATATCAGTTATCCAGATTAAAATATTTTACAATATTTTTGACCTTGTGGCTGTAAATATTTGAATCACTTATAAAGATGCATTTGGCATTTGCACAAAAATGAATTGCAGTTATAGCAATTATAAATGATTTATATTCAGATTGTATAAGAAATGAAAAAGGTCCAAAATTGAATGTCTAAATCATCCTAAAAAAATTCTCTAAAATCTGAAATATGTCAGTTTAAAAGTACCTTTTGTGCAAGAAAATGACATGTTCAGAATGTATCAAAAATACCCATAAATGGATAAATTTCAAGTATCTGTATAACAATGGAGCTCTTATAGATACAATGAAAGATTTAAAATGGTAACATCCACTTTTCTCCTAATCAGCACATTGGAAACCTATAAAGTGTATTGGAAAGGTAAGACGTATCACGAAAATTGCCAACGTAAAACATTTACAAAGAAGAACATTGTTAAGAACCAATTACAACACAAGAAGGGAGAAAATAGTATTGAAATTACAAGTTTTCAACTCTACTGTGTTTCAAGATTCTACCATAACTTTGCAGTTTCATAGCCACTGCAATCCCCCTCGACACCTCCTAAAAAAATTCTCTAAAATAGATACGTTACAGAGGCCACGAAAAATTCTCTTCAGAATTCATTTTAAAGCAGTTTATATTTTTTTTTGGAAGAAAGAGTCTTTTATTCTGTCCTCATGTACAGATATCATACAAACTCATCATTAAATTGCATTCAGTAGCGCTCCAAATGGATATTTTCATTGAAATATGCTGCCCAAACCTTTTGTGATTACAATATTTCCTTTTTACTTCGTACAAGGAAGTAAAAAAGGAAGAGCCTAAAGAATTCTTGTTTACTATAAAAGTTAATTAAGTTGTTGAGATGTAATGAAATAAATGCAATTAAATTTTAACCTAATTGTTAAACAAATATATGAATAAAACGTTAAATTAAAAATTAGTTTCTTTGGAATGTGGAAGAATTCTTTTCTTCTTACGGGTCATTCCATGGTATTTATGCCCAGATTATCTTACAGATTAATTTCGAAATTATTTAATAATTCATATCATCTTATTTGTTATAAATCATAATTTTAAAATGTATAATTTTAATTTAAATTGATAGCAGTTAGCCTTAGTCCTTTGTTCAAATAAAAAAAACCTTCGCTAAGTTCTAACAGAAAAGGTTTAACTAAAAAAGGAAATTTATGCACTCAAAACAAAAAACATAATATTAAAATACAAAGACTAATTAACATTTTATTCTCAGTTCCAGTTTTATATTTTTAAAACCTAGAAGTGAAAATACATAAAAATGCATACATATTTTTATGTATTTTTCACTTCTAGGTTATATAATTTTCACTGTTGGAGGATTTGGAGGTCCTCTTGAAAATGGAGGCCTGGAGCTTGTGCCCATTGGTTATCGCAGAAATCAGGTCCAGCAAAGAATTATTAAAATCAGTATATTTTAGTTGGTTATAGGTATTGCTGATTACAATTTCAATGCCAGTTCTTATTTCAAATGTATAATCCTTTCTATTCTCTTTTTTTTCCCCTGCCCAATCAAAAATGTTTGTTGTAACACCTCTTTATAATATTTCTTTCAGAGTGTCGTCATATACTGCTTCCTATGATTTGTGCTCAAGTGCGACCCTTGTTAGAAAATAAAGATGAGATGGAATTGTGCATTAAAATCATCAGTGACATCATGGTCACCCTTTACAATCGAGGCATTGGGGTTACCCACAATGACATATCAGAACTTATGCTGTCTATCTTGAGAACTATTATACAGTGTGTTGTGCATCTAGAGCGCAGTAATCCGTTAGTGGTAATTGTGCTTCCAGTTTTTAAATAGCTTCTCAATAAAAAGATATATATACAGTAGACAGTGTTCATAAGAATTACATTAGTAACTGCTATAGTGAATTTTAAATAAGGTTGATTTTATTACTGAAATTTATAGTAAAATAAGCCATATTATAATATTCCTTTATCATATTACTGCTTATATTACTATTATTACATGTAATTATTAACATTACTGTGTTATATTTGCTTAATGACGATTTTATATAATTGCTTAATGACGATTTTATGTTCCGTATAACAATATTCTGTACATATTGCATAATAATAAACTTCATATGGGAAACAATGAAATGTATTAGATTCAATTTACCTGCTAATTTTTATTAATATTTTAAAAAAATTGAAAAAAATCATTGATGTGTTGAAGTTAAATTGAACTTACTCAAATGAATTGAGTCAAATGGTTTGATGTACCTAGTTATGATTTGAAAATTTCAGCTAGGTGCCAAACATGAGAAAAATTTCTTAAAATTTGATATTGTGTTATGACTTTTATGAGAAGACTATTTTTACATCCGATTTTGTGCATAAAATATGCATAGTGAAATCCAAAAGCTTCTGGTTTTCCCAATTGAAAATTTATTATATACATATATTTGTTACAAATTTTGTATATATGTGAATAATTTTAGTGAAATTATATATGAAATTGTAGCAATTATATTTTATTATGCAACAAGAAAATCTAAAGAAGCGAAGCTTTTCCAAAAAAGTAAGAATACAAGGGCAAGTCTATTTAACTTTGAATAAATGGCTATCTTGCTAAATTGGTGAGGTATCGCCATACTGGCGACTGTTTTGGTGACTAATTTTTGTCACCGGATTTAGCAAGAAATCACCAAATTTTCGCAGGAGCTTTGCCTTTTTAGATGCACTTTGCATTGTATTGTGTTTAATACTTTTAGTAGTTTGAAGTATAATTACTGATTGTGCTGTGTGATACTGAGAAGAGTTGTACAAGTATTTATGTGAAAAGTTCCAGAACTGTAAAATGTTCCTTTTTGTAAATTAAATTTGATAAAGCTACAATCGATTCTGACTGCATTCAGTCTATTATGAACCTGTACTCACACAGGTTCACACACTTGTGTGCACACAGTAATCTCCCCACCCAAAAAAAAAAAAAAAATGTATATGAATCTTTTCAAATAATTAGAAGTTCACATTTTAAGTTATATAATAAAGACAATTTTCTGCTTTAAAAAAGAAAGCAAATAAAGTATTACTTTATCCCCCCCTCCATGTACACAATTTATTTTACTTATTTCTTATCTGATAAAACTTTATCAAACCAAGTTCTTCCCTTGTATAATGGTCTGTCTTTCCTACTTCTCGGTAGAAATGTAACTATTCTGTTACGCCTCTATTTAGACGTGTAATTAGCCTCTAAAAATAGAATGATTAAAAGGTCATACCAGTATGTGATTGCACAAACATGTAATAATTTATAGTAAATAACTATATTAACTAAAAAATTTTTTCAGTTCTGTGTAATTCTTAGCTCTTCAGTTTTATTCTGAAATGCTTTCAGAGTAGACTATGAATCATAAATGGTTTTTTCTAGAGTTTGATTATTGTTCACAGTTATATGCAAGATCAATTCAATATTTATAATGTCTTCTTATTGTATTTTATTTTGTAGCAAACATATAAAATTATTTATTTGCTCATATTTAATTTTATAACTACTTTAGTATTCAAACTTAAGAGAATTTTGACAGTTGGTAAATTATCTGCTGAACTGATGGACAGATTTTAATGGGAAAAGTATACCATACAACAATCATGATATACTTGCAATATCGTACATAAGTCTTATTATCACAAGAAGATGTAAAAGGTTTTAGAACTAAATTTCCCCCACCCCATGAAAAGGTGTTAATAGAGGGTATGGTTCCCACTAATAGTTATATAGCTTTGACAATGAGACTTCGTAATGGTAGGGAAGCAATTGCAATTCATCCCACTTCTGCAGCGACACTGTTTTCAGGTATTGGAGGGTGAAGGAAAGTTACAGTTGCCCTCCCAAAAGCATTCCAAATATGTTCCATAGGTTTAGGTGCTGAGATTTGATTGGCCATTCAATACAATTAATATTCTTTTTTTCCAAAAAAAAAATCTTCCACTAGATCAGCCCTATGTAGGAAGCATTATCTATTGAACTGAGGGCGAACTGTATCTCTGAAAAAGCAAACATAGGGCTCTAACTCATCTGTGTGAAAGAAGACCTGCTGTTTGCATATTTTCACTTCTGTGTACTAGAAAGTCTCTTTAGTGTATGGTTTTGAACTTTGATGTCAACTTTGAACCAAGCATCATTGGAGGACCATTCTTTTTACAGATGAGTCCTATTTCAGCCTTACCAGTTGATCTCCATACCTGAAGCCTAAAGCCTAAAGCCTAGGACATGTCTGGGATGCCCTTGGGAGAGTAATTTGAACTCGCCTTTTGTCTTTAAAAACCCTCCAGGACTTAAAAACGATGTTGCTGGGGATGTGAAACACATGGAATCATAAACTGCCTGTTTTCCAATACACATTATGAAAGCTGTGTAGCTGTTAGAGGGGACTATCAACTGTCTTTTTTTGTCTGATCTTGCAATCTGTTTTAAACCCTCCTGCATCAGTCTCATGCACAATCATGGATGGGTACCATGAGTATTGTATGTTATATGTATATTATAATTATTATATCCTGTGTGCATAACAGATTTCTTAAAATCTCTCCATCAGTCCAGTAGATGATCAAATGTGAAAATTCTCTTAATTTTGATCACCAGTATAATTCAAGGAAGTTATTCCAGTTGGTCATGAAAAATCAGAGGAATTAAAAGTTGAATTTCACTTGGAATGTTGTATGAAATTACCTGGGCATATTATTTTTAAAATAAAAATAGAATCTAAAATTCTGTCAGTTAAATTTTTTAAATGTATCTAAATTCATATATCTAAATATATTTTAGGGTAATGTGGTGGCTACGATGATTTCAATACTTCGCCAGATGACTCCATACCATTACAATCAGTATATAAGTAATTTTATTACCAAAACGGATCTTCTCGACTTCATCATGGAAATCCTTCTTGTGTTCAGGGATTTAGTCAGCAAAGCTGTATATCCAACTGACTGGAATGAAATGATAATGTTGCAAAACAGGTATCTATATATGTTTTGTAATTCAGTCTTTCTTTCAAAATAATAATTTATTAAAAGTTATGAACGGTATTGGTATACAAGGTTAAATGCTTGTTGAAAAGATTATTCTTGCAATAAATGCATTTGTCTAAATATCAATGTTTGTTTATAATATAAAGTTAATGTACATAGTAATTTGAAACTTTATGTTTTCTCAAAATATGAATTTTATGTTTTTAGTATTATCCTGAAAGCTTTGAGGCATTTTTCCGTTACCATTAGGGATCGCTTCACAAATCCTTTTGAATACCAGGTTGGTGTGTATTTTGAAGGGTATATTCTACATCACATTCTGATTTTACAGTGTACTTAAATCTTTCGCATTTATGTTATTTTTCAACAGTGTTTATTGTGATTTTGAATTTCTTTAACAGGTTTGGAATAATTTTTTTCACTGTGCCATAGCATTTTTGACTCAAGATGCACTTCAGTTGGAAAATTTTTCTCAAAATAAAAGGAATAAAATAATTTTAAGGTAAAATTATTTTACATTATTTTTTTTCCTCTAAATGAATTCATATTTCCCAGCTCTCCTGATTTTACGGCAAGACCCCCAATTTTTCATTTCATCTGTAGGTCTTCTAGTGTTTTTTCGGATCTCCTGGTTTTTAATATATTTGAATTCAGACCATCTCTTTCAAATGTAGCATTAAAAAAAAAAGTTCATCATAAGCAATGAAGTAAAAAAAAAATTATGTAGAAAATGTTTACAAGTTCTTTTTTTTTTTTTTTAAAGTGCTGTGGTTTTTGTCACATTAGCAATCTTTTAATGGAACTTACTGATTTTTTTAGTGATTTTTCAGCAGAATTTTTCTCACTAATTTTGATTGAATCTGATTTGTTCTTATCTCATTCTAGAGATCTGTAAAGCATTTTCTAAAGACTTGACATTTTCAGAAAATGCTTTACAAATATCTGTAGTGGTGCATCTTAGTAGTATTTAGATTTAAAGCAAAATGAATACTATGCAACTAGTATTTAATTTTGCTTAATACTTATTTTAATGGCACACATATAAGTTTATCCACATCATTATTCTTGATTAAACATTTTAATTGATTGCTACTTTTAATTTTTTTTCTTTAGAAACACTGGAGAATTAAATTAAATAAATTAGAATAAATTCATATTATTTGGATTTTCATCAGTATAAAATTATGAAAAAATTGCAAAATCAAATGAAATTAGCCCAAAAATGTAAAATTTTAGTAGGTTGAATTAAATTTTAAAAAGTTAATGTGTTCACCTCATAATTATATTAAAACTAATTTAATACCTAAATGATGTATTACAAAGTGATTTTAAGTCAAATTTCTCAATCTGGAGTCATTTTGAAATTGCTTTTCTAAGCTGTATGAAAAACTTCCAGTTTTCAATATTTAAAGCATAATAGCTAGGCAAATAAAAAATTTTCATCTCAAGTTTGTACTTTAATAATGCATTTTTTTCATTTCTTGATTTTCAGAATATGTATTTTTTATTTTATTTATGTTTTACTATTTTATTCCCTTTTTTTATAAAGAGAACAGCATATGTTTCTGAAATGTGAAATTAAGCATATAACTTTATTGGTTTTGTTACTTTTTTTTTTAAACTATTCCTGTCATTTGTTATTTTTGAGGGAATATCTTTACCCTATAGTAAACAGTGTTAAATATCTGAATAGGTGCATCAGAATGAAATGGTAATTAAAATAATTCTATGTCATTTGTTTCAAGAACAAATTTAATATTTATTGTAATAGTTGATCAGTAATGAAATAGCTATAGGTGATGCGAATTTGTGGGCTTTTGAATCAAAGTAATGATGAAGTTAGTTTAGAAATAACTTCAATAGTTTAAATCATAAAGTCTCAGTTTCATGATATTTTTTAATTGCATTTGCTTTTTCGCTGAAGAAATTTTTATAAAACACCGTTTATAAACTTTGGTATACATTATTTTTGTAATTTGCAGGTACAAGGATATGAGAAGAGAAACTGGATTTGAAATAAGAGCAATGTGGTTTAACTTGGGTAAGTATTTCGATAAAATGTCAGAAAAAAAGTCTTTTATTGTATAAAAATTAAGTAAGTACGTAAATTGCTTGAGAAATTTTGAAATCGGTTCTCTTATTCACAGTCTCACGACCCTACTGATCCCATATTTTTAATTTAAAAAAATTTGAATACTTCATACTGAATTAAACTTTTCATTGTATTTTATACGTGAAATATGTATCACTGTACAGATTTATATAAATATGTATCACTGTAGGGATACACATTTATACACAAATCACATTTATTTGATTTTAACTAAAATAAAAAATAATAATTCAGAAGTCAAAACAACAAAAATCAGCATAATATTTTCAAAATTTTTACAGAAACTTTCAACTGTAAAAATTTTGAAAATATTACGCTGATTTTTGTTGTTTGACTTCTGAATTAGTATTTATTTGGCGTGTTATTGTGTTTTAATTAAAATAAAAAGTGTTGAATATATTAAAGATGTATACAAGCACACAGATAGAGTAATAATAATGAAGAACAGAGAAGAAAAAAGGATCATAGGATATCATTCCTGGGCGTGATCAGTGCACGTTTACTGAAAGTTTACTAGAAGTGAGTTACAAAACAATTTTTTCACCCATTCAAAATGCTTGATTAATTTACAACAATCCTCCCTTTAATCATGCATTTGGGGAAAAGGTTAGTTCACTTCCTAATTTCATAAATTTTGGTTTAAGTAATGGCTTGGTGAAAAATCTGCAGTCATAGAATTTGTATTGCAGTATGTTATGTTATATCAATTATTTTATTCGCTTCCATTTCTCTTAAAAAGAAATATTTAACGTTAATAATTTTAGCCTGTTATTCATTTTTCTGTGGTGGATAAGAGATATTGTGGACTTATTGCTCTCAAATATCTTAGTGGGTAGTTTTTGGGGTAGTCCAAAATCTTTAAGGAGGTCTAATATACATTTGAGCACTTGAGCTGCAGTAACTGCTGAAATAAGCTTGGACTTGGATAGGTGATAGTGAAACACATTTTTATCTCTTTGTGGACCAAAATATTGAGCTGTTTCTGAAGAAAAATAAATTTCCTCCAGTTGATTGTCAAGTGGTTAAATCAGATGCATAGTCAGCATCTGTCTATCAGAATCAGTTTTCAGGTAAATGTCCTTTGTCGAGTTTAGATATTAAATGACTCTGTAGAACTGCTTTCCACTCCTTCTCATTTCAAGATGAATTTTTCCTGCTTAATAGGTTCACTGCTAGGTTAATATCTGGTCTAGTTACAGTGGCTGGTTACAGTAAGGTTCCGATGGCCTGCTTATATTTGGTATTGTCCACTGATGGAGAGGTGTCCTCTTCCTTTGAATAAGAAGTAGCCATTGGTGTGTAAGATGGCTTGTGGATGTCTGGACAAAAGTCTTCAAATCTTCTTCAATATTTCTGTTTTTGACTTTTAGCTTAATAGGAATGTGTCATCTCTTTTGTTGGTGATTTCGAAGTAGTTTCTGATTTAAGTCTTTTACTTTGAAGAATTTGTTGAGAGATTTGATTAGTTTTTTGATTTTGTCTTCTCTTTTGCATGCTACAAGGATGTCAATGTAGACAATAATCGTTTTCGTGTCATTTCCATCTTTCTTTAAAAACAAGCATGGGTCTGTTGTACTCTGCAAAAAGTTCTTGGTCTCTTTTATTCCATGCTGTAGCAACCTGCTTTAATCCATAAAGAGATTTTTTTCAATTTGCAAACCGTTTCTTGTCTTGTTTGAATTGTGCCTTCCGACTGTTGCATGTATATTTTTTCTTCTAAATTTCCATGTAGAAATGCTGTAGTGATGTCTACATACCTTGAGTGCATTTTACCATATGCTGCGATAGCAAGAAAGGTTTTGATAGTTGTATGTCAAATTGCTGATGCAAAGGTATGATTGTAGTCAGTTCCGAATTTTTGACTATAACCTTTTGCAACCAGTCGTGCCTTATAATGAATGGTTCTTCTGTCTTCGTTTTCTTTCAGATTCAAAATCCATCAACATCCAATAGGTTTCTTTCCTACAACAAGCTCAACTAGTTCCCAAGTTTTATTTCAGGATACGGAATTGATTTCTTCATCAACTGCAAGTAACCACCTTTCCTTTTCTCCAGAATTCAACTTATCCAGGTCTTTAAAATTCTCAGGTATGTTTTTAATTGTGTTTGTTAAGAATACTAGGTGTTCTGGTGGTTCCCCCCTTTTTTTTAACATCTTAGGTCTTTTTCGAATATAATTTTAGTTTCCTCAGTTTCTTTGTTGTTTAATGCACATATACATAGGCTGTGCAACCAAATTGTTTCATATGAGCTAGATTAGGTTTTCTTCCACTTAATTATTCATGGGGGGGGTCTTATGACAGCTCTTGTTGGTAGGCGGTTGTAAATATAATTTGCTATGTCGGCCTTGGAATAAATTTCTTCCATTTGTTTTCTAGTATATTCACCACCATTATCAGTTCGGAAAGTCTGCATGGTTCTTCCACTTTTGTTTCTTGTTATACCAGTGAAGTCTTTTAATTTATTAAGAACTTCGGTCTTAATAAAGTCATAAATAAAAGTTATGAAATAAAGTTTTCCTCAAATACTTGGAGTAGTCATATGCCCACAAATGTCACAATGTATCAAGTTCAAATGGTTTGCTTTGCTTGCACGAACACTAGCAGCTTTTAAGGAATTTGCTGTATTTTATTCTTTATGCATTCTAAACAGCTATCATTATGAGTCCAATTATATCTAATATTATTCCTTCACAAGATTCATAAGATCTCTTACTAATTGTTTGATTGCATCATAACTTCAATGGTCTAACCTTGAATGCCATATTTGTATACAATTTTTATTTTTACATTCTACTGCAATGTTAGCATTTTCTGGATTTTTGATTAGAAGAATTTTATATAAATTATTATCATCAGAACATGTGCACATAATTATATGGCTGTCTTTTTGACAAAGCGATTTTCTTTTTCGAAATTAACAGAATATCCCTTACTAGCCAGTTGCTTAACAGAAATCAAGTTGCTCTTTAAATCAGGAATGTAATAAGCATCAGTCAATATAATTACCTGCAGTCCATATTCATCTTCTAAATCAAGGTCAACAAATCCTTGGGAATATAAAATTTTTCCATCTGCTAAAATGATTTTTGCTTGTGAATCCTCAGAATCCATGTACAAATTTTTTTTACTTACATTTTTTTCTGAGCAATACCCTGGAGTAATTATTAAACCCTTTTTGTAAACAGTACTTTGGACTGGCGCCAACTGTAACCTGTCACTGGATTCACAACTTCTTTCATCAGAAGTCACAGTGCTCATGCTATGTCGGTGTTCAGTTTTTCCAACACGTTTGGTCATGCAAAGATTTATTATAGCTCATGCTTGTTTATCCCTGTCGTATGGTTGTAGGAAAAAATGTCACCCGGAAAAAAGGGAAACGGAAAGAATATCCCCGGAAAATAAGGAATGGAAAAAATGTCACCCTTCGTTTGCAATGGGAAATATAAGGCATGTTTAGAAAGATCGCCAAGCTGGGTGATAAAAGTTTTATCTCAACAACCGTAACTTCGGATGACCGGAAACATGTGCGAGTAGAAGCAAGAAGATGTGTTGGCTGCTTGTTTCCTCCATGGTTTCTTCGTTAAGGTTAAAAATAGAGGGTTGTTTAGAGAGGGAAGCTTTCGCGATGGAAGCCAGGGGGAAAGGCGGGTTGTCCAGCGTCGGTCATTGTCAGGTCTTTAGTAATTACTCTCCTGGCACCGCATGTAGTTATAGCCTTAAGCTGCGGTTTAGTGAAACATTTATTGACGCACAACAGAAAACTAATTCATCCTGAGCTTTGGTATAAGAAACAGTTGTAGATGCAATTTCAAGTTACGGTTTGCGATAAGAATAGGACTAAATTTTTTACCTAATTAATTTTCGCATAATTTTTTTTTCTCATTTGATTTTAATTAAAAGTAACGCATCTGCACAGGAAACAATTGTTTAATTTTGCACTTAAGTTTGAAAACAAGAATACCACAGTTATTAAAATTAAGAGGTTTATTTCAAAATTATTAGTCCCTGAGGGACTAATGTTTTCATTTTGCGATTTTGCGTCGAATCACTCTGAATGTCCGTTTCACTTTTCAAACTGTTGCCACCAAATATTGTGATAAAACAACGGTACCTAGAGCCATCGAGTTTCGAATGACGTAATCCTACTGCGAATATGGGCAACTGGAAGCCCAAATTTGAAATTTGGAATTTGTTTTATTATCGATTTTATATTTTGTAACGGATTTTTGATTAACAAACTCAAGAATTTCAAAGCGAGCCATTGCAATGTTGTACAGAAAAAAAACATTTTTATCTCCAGCGCGTGAGACTGTGAATCGGAAATTCTAAAAATGTGCTCAATTTAAAATTATTTTGCGATACTGCTCTTGAACTGAATTTTATGGTTTAACCCGGCGGAAGGCGCACCAAGAAAAGTTACTAGAGTGGGCGCGTGGGGTATCACATACCCCGATATTTAAAATACGATAAAAATAGTTTTATTTAGTTTTAAAGCTGTTTTTTCTTATTCTCGAGTATTATAAATACGAGAAAAATAATTGGGTTTCAAAAAATTAATTTCCAAAATAATCTTAGAGTTAAAATTAAGATAAATGAAAATAATAAAAAATAAACATCATGCCTCTAAGTTTCATTGCATCTCTAATACAGAATGCTTATTTTATTTCTTCACACTTTGAACGAAATAAGTTCACGTGTTCTTGGAACAGAATGTTTTCACATTTTAAAAATTGCATTCACGTTCTTCTGTCCTTGGCGCGAGGGCAAAGAATTTATCTTTCATACTTAGTTGTTTCGAATTTCATGTATTCGTTTTAATTCTTCGTCAAAACTTCTGCTTTTGTTTTGCATGCAGTACGTTAGTTTCTCGGTAAAGTATTAATCTCTGATCTTTGTTCAATACTTTTTTCATTAATTGTAATGCTA